CCGTTATTAAAAGATTATAACAGTCAAGAAGTTGCACCTTTAATTGTTTTCGTTTTATAATGTAAATGTTTTGGAGTAAAATTCCAAATTAGCGAATTTAACCACTCATTATTAACCCAAGCAACGTTCAAGACTAATCATGACCAGTCTTGACAAATGGGCTTTAATTTCTCTAAAACCTGTAAATTTACCAGTGGACTTGATAAAGAAAGCTTTCTTCTTCTAGCTTTATATAGTTTTGAAGTGCTTTCATTAATTAAGCTGTCCAGGTTGAATCTTTGGTCTGTTCTCACTTCCCTTTTTCGTATTTCTTTGTATTTCAATAACATTCTGTGATGCAACGAAAGTCGTTTCCATAATAATGGAATAAGCGATTGACAGGTGTGGTGTGCTATGCAAGCAAAAACATTGACAGGTATGGTTTCAACAATGGTGCAGCTCCACATAACACACAGATATCAGATAGTACTTAGACCGCAGGATTCCAGGACAATGGATTGGTACAAATACTGCTGTAAGAGTATGTAATGTTGAATTATTAAGACGATTCGAATTGTGCATGCATGAAAATGGAAGTAATTTGCCAGTTATTAAAATTTATTTGGTATCCTAAAATGTAATTAAGTTTGTTATTTTGTTAATTAGTTTTGTTGTTTATGTTAGAAAATAATGTTATGAATTATTTTCTTCTTTAATATTAAATATCTTCGAATCTACAAAGTTTTGAAATCAATGTTAATAAGGGAAGTTGCACAGTTTTCGATGTTCTATCACATGCATCTAATAAAAAGTTTGTGTTGAAGGGAAAGTTTCTTTTAACAGCAGCGCCATCTTTATTTTTATATAATGAATAATAACAATACAACTTCTTACAAAACTAAGATATCTCAACCCATTCCAGAGATACTTGGCCTGGGAGTCAGATCTTTTTGAGTCTTGACCTTTTTTTCTTTGTTTCCCCCAAGACATTTCTGTCTACTTTTTATTATATTAGTTCTGAGAGTACTTCATTTACCATGCTAGCTTAGAATGTAATCCATGCACTGCAAATTCCAAAGTCTTTTAGGCACTGTAGTATTTTGATACCGCATGCTTCATCCTATTTTTGTGCTGTCATGGTATTAACGCGTATCCTTATACAATCAGTGTCTAGTATTCGGCGTTCTGCTCCAGGTAATTGAATACTTATTGATTTATTTATGAAAATAAGTAATTATCTTATAATGCTATACAGCTTGAGGTTGTCAACAATGTTGATATTACCCCACTTCTTGACAATACGGACTAAACTACTCTCTACTAACCTACAAAATACATCTCGCTAATACGGACTAAACTCCTCTTAAGACCTGTTTAAGTACGAACTTTTTTGATGTATGTATGTGTTAGGGATTGCAATCAAGAAGGGTTTATATAATCCAGGGATTTATGGGCTACATCTTTAATTATAAATAAAAAGTGTTCAAGGTGTTTCTAACATTACAGTTTAGTCTAACCATAATACAAAGCATTATAAAAAAATCTACCGTCCATAGAACTATTAACTTACTGAAGAGGAGCATCGTTCCGATTCCACACTTTTTGCTGGAATAGTTTTCAAACATTCAAAAGCGAATTGAAGATTTTTACCCATGCTACCGCCATTATTAAATATATCAATTTCTTGGATCAATTTATTGAAGAGTGCATTCTTAGTTAACTGGACAGGTAGCTGTTGTTTGTTTATAGCAACAGCAGACGTTTTCTTTCAGTGTCTGATTCGTTTCTTGCCGTTGAGACTCCGCAATTAGTAAGTCATCTTCATCATTTTGAAACATATTTTGTTCATCTTTTGGTGTTAAACGTAATATAAGTTTCTCTAATGTGTTGCTCTAATATACTTTGTTGTTCTTTTGGCTTTTTGTATAACACATCTATTATTGCCAGCTGTAAAAATTATATGCTAAACATAATTGATGGCTTGAGGGCGTTGATACCAGGTGCATTTAAAGTTGCAAGACAAGCTCGTTCTTTTCGTTGCTCTTTAATGTTTATTTTGTTACCCTTTGTTTTCAGAATAGTAAAACATTTTTTTGCATTTTGCCGTTTCACCATGATCAGCACCAGTTAGGTAGTAGTGCCATACCGAATGTTTATCATCTGCTTTTCGAAATTACAGATGTTTCATCCATACTGGTAAAAGTTGATACTGGTTTGAAATGAAATCCCGGGATTGCAATCCCGAGTATATATATAGTTTCATGTGGGAGTGGTGAATTCCTTCACAGGGGTCATAAAACCAGCCCTAGGTTTTAATGAACGTTAATATAGAAGAGAAAGGTATGTTCTTTATGCCCGAAATTTACACCAAAAATGGATTTCCTTAAGTACGCGAGGTTAGGACTGTCATCAACAATATGACTTGTCCGGTCAGGAAGTGATTTTTGATTTTGATCAGGAACTGAGTTGACCTCTTCGGGTCAGGGTAGAGCAGAGTTTTCTTTGCAAAGACACCTAATGCAGTCTTATCCCATCTATCGCAAAAATCTGGGAGATGGAGTTGATCAGCTTTGATGCTCTAGAACTTTATTTTTTTAACTTTTTTAATAATATACTTTTAAATTCTTTTTTAGGGTCATTTTGTTAGAGCTTTGGGTAAAATTGGAGATCAAAAAACAGAAAATGAAGTTGTTTTATTAGAACATGATGTCCCTCACCATCAATTTTCCGAAGAAGTTCTAAATTGTCTCCCAAAAATTCCTTGGGTTATAACGGAAGAGGCAAGTTTATAAAACAACATTTTTATTCCAATTTTTAACACTTATTCATTTGATTAGGATGTTAATAAACGCGTTGATTTACGTCACATAAATATTTGTTCAGTTGATCCACCAGGATGTACAGATATTGACGACGCTTTGCATTGCCGACAATTAGAAAACGGTCATTTCGAAGTTGGTGTTCATATCGCTGACGTATCTCATTTTATTCGACCGGGAACTGCTTTGGATAAAGAAGCAGCTTCTCGCGCGACGACTGTTTATCTTGTAAATAACAGAATCGACATGGTTCCTGATTTATTAAGTTCAAATTTATGCTCGTTAAGAGGTGGGGAGGAACGTTTCGCGTTTTCTTGCGTTTGGGAATTAGACAAAAAAGCCAACATTATTAATACTCGTTTTCATAAAAGTATAATTAAATCAAAAAAAGCAATGACGTATGAAGAAGCCCAAATTACAATTGATGATGGTTCCCAAACCGATGAATTGGCCCAATCTTTAAGAAATTTAAATAAATTAGCGAAGTTTTTAAAAAAGAAACGATTAGAAAAGGGGTAACAAAAATTGCTTTTTTAAAGTTTTTATTTTAATCGTAATTTTAGAGCTTTAGTGTTGGCATCTCCTGAAATAAAGATAATGATGGATACAGAAACTCACGATCCAATCGATGTAGAAGTTAAAAAATTATTTGAAACTAACTCAATGGTTGAAGAATTTATGTTATTAGCTAATATTAGTGTAGCTGAAAAAATTCTTGAAGATTTTCCAGATTGCGCAATGTTAAGAAGACATCCAGAACCACCACCAATTAATTTTGATCCTGTCATAAAAGCTGGAAAACATTTAGTAAGTATTATAAAACAAATTTCAGAATCGAAACTTTAATTAATATCTTTTAGGGTTTTGAAATTCATATTGATTCTGGAAAACATTTAGCAGATTCTTTAGATGCAGCTGTAAAAACTGATAATCCATACTTAAATACAATGTTAAGAATACTTACAACAAGATGTATGATGCAAGCTGTTTATTTTGCAAGTGGAATGTTCACAAAAGCCGAATTTTTTCATTACGGTTTAGCTGTTCCGCTTTATACACATTTTACTTCACCAATTCGAAGATATGCCGATATAATAGTCCATCGACTTCTTGCAGTTTCAGTGGGTTCTGACTCAACATATCCTGATTTATTAGATAAAAGAAAAACTAGCGACTTGTGTCAAAATTTAAATTACAGGAATCGAATGGCTCAATATGCTGGACGAGCTTCCATAGCTTTTAACACCCACGTAAAATTAAAAAATATAAATAAAAAAGACTGTAATTTTATTAATTTTTTTTTAGTTATTTTTTCGTGGAAAAATTGAAGATGAAGAAGGTTACGTTTTGTACGTTCGTAAAAACGCTTTACAAATTTTAATTCCAAAATTCGGCTTGGAATCGACGCTTTATCTGGGGAAAAAGGGTGAAGAGAAATTAAGCATTTTCGAATACAACGAGGAAGATCATACCCAAAAATGTGGCGATATTGTTTTTCACGCTTTCGATCCGGTTACCGTTCGAATAAGTTTGGATTCGAATAATATTCAGCACGAAAAATTCGTTCTTCAGTTGGTTAAACCATTTATTGAAGGGTTCAGTGTGGCACCTTTAAAACCAGGAGATGATCAAGAAGATTTAAGGGCTAGTCCACCTAAAAGGCGGAAGAAAATGAAAAAAAATCGATAAATATGATTTAATATTTTAAAATTGTGTGTTTTTTTTAATGATTTATGGTTTAAAATTGATTTTTCAATAAAATAATGAATCACAAAATATTGAGGTTAATTTTATTTCGTTTAAAATTTACTGTATGTGATCAGCATAGTTTGAGAAATTCCATATTGTTCTAATGATGTTACTATTTTTATTTATATTTGTGTTGGTAACACTTTAGTCCAAGTAGCATCACAAGTAATATTCAGGAGGTTGGCATTTACTATTTTTATAGTTTCCAGAAAACATTTAGGTTGCTACCTAACACATGCTTATCTTTACTTAAATTAATAATTGAACTATCAAATATAATTTATAATGCTAAGTTAAAAACATTCTAGTTTTGCCAACAATATTTTCCATAACTCATTCCCCACAATTGTTATTCCTACCACAACTATGTCGTAACACTGCATTTTAAACATAAGCAGACATTGATAATTTATAATACATGTTGATCAATTTTTCCTATCACTGCTAGAATCGATAACTCTCCATAAGCTCTTCATTCGCGAAGTATGAGCATTCCGAAAATTTCAGTCATATACATAGTTACTCATGTTGTTAACGCCGCTTCTGCACATCTCATTCTGGAAGATATAATAATAGTAAACAATATAAACAAAGTATTAAACGTTCCATACAATACTTCTAAAACTGAAGATGCTACCATGTACGATCATATTATGAGTTATGAGATGCTTTGAAATGCTGTTTTTTTATAATTTTGCAATAAATTTAGTAATAATAATAGTAATATTACAACCAATATCAAGTGTTTAAGAACTTAATAACCATATTTTATATTGAACCATATATTACCACAAAATGGTAATCTAAATATAGCAAAGCCGACAAAGTCATCCTCTAAAATAGCACTATCGCCCATATTAGGAACAAGGAAAAAAATTTCATGTTATTAGCAAATAGCCAAGCACCTGGATCAAATATACAAGAAGACAGCTGACTACTAGTTGACTATCACTAGATTTTGTTGGTCAATACAAATCGGGTGAGGTCGATGCTGGACTAACATAGCTAAACCACAACTTTTAATCAACACCCACAATTTTCTTCGGTATAGTAATCGATTTTTTAGATACTATCCTTCTTTAATGTCTCAATCTCGCTCAACAATCCAGTAGAACCAAGTTGGGCCTAAAAAGGATCAGTGTTCTACCGTTGGAGTTAGGTTAATCTGCTATTCCAACTGGAAGCTAACTGTTTAGAACCCTGGTCCAAGATAACTATTAACGTTTGGGCGAAGATCGTGGTTAAATCATCCTTATTTATCTCCTGTTAGTTTGTTGTAGTGAATGAGCAATGAGTGTCAGCAGTTCGATATCAGGGTTGATAAGCCCGGATTCACGTGGTGATTGATGTAGTTTTGATCAAGCTTACACTTACTTTCAGTTAGTGCCTCTGGCCGTATTCTATCAATTTCTCCTTTCGATAATTTATGTTGTCAGCGTTCTAAAATAGGGTTTCCATGTATTTTTGGCGTTTTATTCTGATCATTGTGGACAAACCATTGCAGTAAGACTTTAATATTGCTGAAGAGCACCATTCTAGCTTTACCAACTGTATTGCAAGTAAGCAGCATGATACTCAGGCAGTATCATGACTAAGATTTTGACGGCTTTCTTCTAGTAGGTTTTATGATGAAGGCATTTCCGGTATCATCATCAAACAGGTTGGTTTCCGTATCTTGGCCGAGATTTTCTCGTCGATTTCTTCGCGGCGGAATTTTCAGAGGATTGACTTGGCCTTGGCAACAATACTGTTCTAAGATTTCCCATTTGCGCACGGATTTGTTATCGACTTGATGAGTTGGGTTGGGAGACATGTTGGTCTTTTTCGCATTTCTGGGTATATCATTAACTCATTATATTGCCGTTTATAAATAAATTAAACAAATGAAATATTGCATGAACGATTAAAATTATAAGAAACATTCAGATCGTGAATTACACTCGAATCCCATAACTGGAAGTGGTATTTTATCAATATCTTAACTCATTTTACAATAATCTTAACAAAATTAAAGACACGAAATATTTTTAATTAAACGTCTAATAGATATAGTGTTAATGGCGCCATTCTAATCAAAAAAATTCCTATAGTATATAGCAGCCATAAATTCCTTTCTCAAAGGAAGTCAAATATCTAGGAGTAATCCTAGACAAAACCTTGTCATGGAATGGACATTTGCAGGGAGTGTTGCACAAAGCTAGACTATCCTTGTGGATTTGTCGCAGTCTTTGTGGAAAAAATTGGAGTCTTACCCTTGAAAGACTGTACTGGCTGTATGTGACTGTGGTTAGACCTATGATCACATCCGGAGCAGCAGCTTGGTATAGGAAAGTCCGACAGACTTCAGTTATCAGTAAACTTTCACGAATTCAACGAGTAGCTGGATTGGCAATCTTTGGTGCGAGAAGCACAACGCCAACTATAGCAATGGAGGTTCTGCTTGGCCTATCTCCTCTGCATTTGCATACAGAGAACGTGGCTAGAACAACCATTAAAAATTGTTCCGGCATGTCCTACCAATGGGCTGCGGAAGACATTATAAGCACTGATACTGTGCTATTAATGCCGTCAGATTTGGCGGGATCACTATCAGTGATTAACGCTCGATACCAGATTGTACTGCCTGAGCGGCAGTCCTGGATCGAAAACGATTCAGGCAAATATTTGCATGTTTACAGATGGATCAAAAACGCTGGAAGGGGTCGGAGCAGGAGTATACTGCCAGACACCTCGAATTAAGCAAGCTTACAGCCTGAGTACGTACTGTACTGTATTCTAGGCGGAAGTATTTGGTATTGACATGGGTGCTAAAATCCTTCTTGAGAGAGGGGTGAAGAACATGACAGTACGAATTTTCTCAGACCTGCAAGCCGTGAAAACGGTGTCGGCTCTGGTTAATGATTGTAAGAGAACATTAAACACACTGAGTTGTGATAATAGAGTTTCTCTGATCTGGGTCCCGGGTCACTCTGGGGTTGCTGGCAATGAAGCGGCAGATGAGTTAGCACGAGAGGGCAGCGCTAAAGCGTTTGTGGGGCCGGAACTAACAGTTGGTGTATCATTTGCGATGGCCAAATATAGGATTGGACTGTGAGCTGAAGAGAGATTTCGCCTGCTGTGGACCAGTTCTCCTGGAATGAAACATGCTAAGGTGTTTATTAACATCGCTACTGTCAAACCCGGGAATATTTTAGGACCTGCTCGTAGCAGAATAACAGTTCTAATGGGTGTCTTTACTGGGCACTGCCGATTAAAAGCACACCTCAACTTGTTGGGTTTAGCTGACGATGTTGAATGCCGACTATGTGCGGAGGAAGTAGAGACGGTTGAGCATGTTTTATGCCACTGCCCTGCCGTTAACCGTATCAGATTCTCGATTTTTGATCGCAGTTTATCGCCCCAAAGGATCTTAATGTTCGTTAAGAGCATTGGACTGCACGGTGAAATTTGATAACAATATCTATCGGGGTACAATAGATCCTTAGGGTCGCGGTGCAAGGTTGGTTGGTCAATAAACCAGATACAGCATTATTATACCGCAGAAAATGACCAATTTTTGTATTTTGTCCTACTAAATTTGAGAAATTGATCACTGTGCATTGTGGTTATGTTGTTGAGCTTCGAAATTGCTACTTTCTTGGAGTGTTGTGTTATGGTGTTTCTGCATATCATCCGAGGTGTTTGGGTAGACCTTGAATTGGTAGAGTGCAGGGCGCACATGATTTTCATATCCTTGGAACGCCAACACTGCCACGACAAACGTGCTTCTACGCACTTGACGCCTGTTTAACCGCATTTTCTGAAAACTTAAGGTGAGTGAAAATATCGAAAACTATAAGTTCACAATGATTTAAGTATAAGGTCAAAGTAAAAGCAATGATATAGAAGTGACTGATCCATCATTTGAATATCGCTGCTTTACAAAATGGCATTTATGTAGAACAAATCTTCCAATAACACACGTTAAATAATCATGAAACATCTTTGTGGCAAAAGTTTACGTTTCCTATTTTCATTTATATTACTAAAATAGTCACTTATATCATCATAAGCAGCATTTTTGAAATTATAAGTGACAAGACATTATTCGGAATGTTTATTTAAAGAGTAACATAGCAAGTAAATTTCAGAGATGAGTACGCTGGGAAAAATTCGTTAGTTGTATCTCAATCAAATTATGTAATACTCCAAGATAAAATCTAGATAAAATTTATAAAAAAAATTACATTGAAAGCACACAAAATGAAAGAATATTATATGTAATAATTATGATGCAAGATGATGAGTTTCAAATGAAAACATAAAACAAAGAAGTGTTTATACAAGAAGTGACCAACAAATCTTTATCAAAAGTACACTTTAGTAATCTTTGACGATTGAAACGTCAACTTTATTATTAAAACATTACTTTATTTTCTTTATTTTTTAAATGATTTGCTTTGAGTTCTCTCGTTGCAGATCCTTTAAACACATCTCAGTCTTATAATAAATAATTAGATGAGGGAGTTTGATCCATGTTGACCAGTTATTTTCTATAATATAAATTCAATAAAAACAATACTTTTTCTAGTATGTTTTATTTACTGTCTAACCAGTTTCGGCTTATGCCATCATCAGAGACATTAGTAATACATTAGATTTTAGCACAAGTATACAAGTTAAAATTATGAAGTACATTAAAATCTTACATTTTAGTAGTGTTGATTTATTTTTAATGTAAAAATTTTAAAATTTAACGTGGATTTTAATGTGTTTATACTCATAATTTTAATTTATATAGTTGTGATAAGCCGTCTATATGAATAACAGAATGGATTTAATATGTCGCTAAGCCAAAACCCAGAAAACCCTAGAAAAAGTATTGTTTTTATTGAATTTATATTATTATAATAAATGCTTACTACTATATTTGCTGATAAGTGCTTCTTCAGTATAGAATTGCACACTACAATTCATGCAATTTCTCTAGTATTTCTCCATTATAAGTAAATAAATTCTTAATCACATATTTAATCATTCCTTTAAAGTTTTAAATCCAATCTAACTTGAAAGTTATTTCTTGTAGTATGATATATCTTTGGTTTATGCATCATGCAGTCTGAAAATAGGTAAGTAGAGTTCCAAACATCTTCTTACAGTCTGGAATATATATTATATGTAATTCAGTACTATTGCTTCTTTGATTCTGAAATTTAATTTTGAAAAATATTTATATATCTAAATTGTACTAATATTATTTAATAAAAATTGTGACACTTTTTACTTCAATACCGAAAGTTTTTGATTTATTTCCTCAATTTAAAATCCTGGTGAGAATCCACTTTCTGGGAATAATTGTTTGAAGAACCACCGCAGGAAAAATAAAAGATATTTTATGCTGAAAACATTGAAAACCTTTTTATTACATCTATATCGTATATTTATATAATACACATAGAGCTTTTTTTGCAAATCTCTTAAAAATAGTTATAAATATATTACATAGGTTTTCACTAATATACACTAGGTACTTAACTACTAGAAAGAAAAATGAAAATAGTTCGACGTAAATCAAAATCGAAAAATAAGCAGCCAGTTACAGAAAAGAAAAACTGAAAAATAAAAGGCATTAAAACCAATTTGTTATTTATAATGTATTGTGTAAAACAATTATTGTTCGTAGTTATCTTTTAATCTTCATTGTTATTATCATCTTATTAATCACTTTACACTATCACTCTTGTAGATCACCTTCCGCTTGTACTGGAGTTTTTTGGACGAAACATGAACGAGCAACAGATTCAAATAATCTAGAAAAAAAACAACAATAAATTATTTGCTCCAATACTTTATATATAGAAAACCAACTTACTTTTCAATTTCTGAAGCACAATGAACGAATTCATGCGACCAAAATTTATAAGTTGGATTTTTAATTAACTCAATAAACGTAATAAGTAATCCCCATGGATGTGGTCGATTAACAATGAGTCGTTCTAATAAAACCCTCGTTATTTGTTCTTGAATAGCTTCGGTGTTCGCCTCAGCAAATAAATACAATAATGTACAAGAGAAATAATGTGTATGGCTGTTTGGGTAACGTAATTGATTGGCGATTGAATTAAGGAAGAGATATCGACCTTCAGTATCCAAATCAACAGCCAAATTTTGGAAAATATCCATGTGTGCACTATGCGCAATCGTCGACATGTTCGGTGTTAAATTCTTTCCACGTATGTGAGCTATAGCTTGAGTACCAACATACAACACCAGAGCATTCATCAATGGAATATTATAGCGCATTCCTGGTTCTTGTGATACTTGTAAATTACTTCGTAGCTCAGATAAAAATGTTACAGGAGCACGGGATTTGAGGTAATTATCGAGATCTTTCTTGAAAGATGGTGGGGTAATAGTTGAAGAAAAATTTCCAAGTACCCTTGGTCCGTAAGTTATTTCTTGAAGAATGTCCACTTTAAGATTTGGTGTAAAGGGATCTGGTAAACGCATATTTCTCGGGAAGGCTGATAAAATTAAGTTCCTCATTTGTATACAATTTGGCGGTATCACATCGCAAAATCCGTAATGATAATCGCATAAAAATTCGGGAAAATCATGTAACAACACCAACAAAACCCTTAATGTTCCTTTATAAAGCATCGTTACTGGCTTGGCTAATTCTGCGTTCCTCAAAAACGGTGCTAAATATTTAAACAAATCCACCAATAATTGAGCGTACATCGCCCAGCCTTTTTGTTGTGGTGTAGCTGCCAACATTCTTCCCATAAAAATGCGGTGCGATACCAATTCAAGCCAAGCATAACAGAAACCGGCTGCTTTCGATGGTCTCAAAATATGCAAAGTATGACAAAAAGCCGTCAATACATGATAGTTAATTGTTTCTAACACCGGTTCTGGATTATTTAATTCCAAGAATAGCATTATAAACATTCTATGGTAAGGCAACTGTTGAAATTCGACCCCTCGCTGTTCGTGATCTTGCAACAAACATCCCGCCACAATTCCCAATACTTTATTCAACAGATGAATCTTTGGAGTAGTATTACTCGAATCCCCGGAGTGTTTCACCAACAACGCAACTAGTCTAATGTATGCGTCCAATGTATTGTAACATTTAACACGAAGGTGGTTTCCTGTAGTGGTTTGATCCGTCATATATCTATAGACTAAATCAACACATAATTGTGTTGATAGTCTAAAGAATCTAGTTATCAAATCATCGGTTTTTAACATTCCGTGGATATTCATTTGATGAACAAACATACTGAAAGGTTTCGTTGAATCTCTACTTGTCGGTTGAGAATTATAAACATTTATCCATTCTCGAATTAAATAATCAATTCTTTCTACAAATCCAGGTGGATCCTCAAAATGCGTTGCCCTAACCTAAATTAAAAAAATTTTAAATAAAACATCCAAAATAATTTTTTCATTTCACTTACTTGTAAAATTCCATTATGAATGTGAGAAGTAGGTCCACCAGGAGACCTCTCACTCATAAATATTTGATCTTGATTATGCCGAAGCATATCAATAATATTTGCTAAACTTTCTGATGGTTGTCTAGCGTGGTTGTTAATTTTCATTAAAATCTCAATCGTATGATAGAAATCGTTTTCAGAAACCAATGGCGTCGGTCTATCGTCCATAAATAAATTTTGTAATAAAAGTATTGCCATATTAAGTGCTCTATAACTTCCGTTTGTATCCAAAAGTTGAGCCAAAGCTCCGTCGAAAGCCGCGATATTAACCAAACCGCTTCTTATTAACGCTTCGGCTGCAAGTTCGTTAAAACGCATTTCGTCTCGAAATTCGCTGAGGCACTTTGTCACTTGTTTGTTGGTCCATTGTTGTCCAAACGCTCGAGGATCTTGAAGAGATTTTAATATTCGAATTATAATCTCTTTTAAGCGAATCATAACAGGTTCTGCTTCTGTTGGTACAAGGTTTTCTTGTAGAGCTTCTACACACTAAAAAAAAAAGTTAAAAATATAATTGTAATAATACAGGTGGGGCAATCAAATTGCACTATTTAAAACAAATGTTAAGATAAAAGATGAAATTCTATATAGAAGCAGAAAAGTTTCACTTTTTGAGTATTAAGTCAGTCAAACCCTACAATTATCCGTGAGTTATACTCTATTTATTAATTCGGAGGAGTGTTTTCAAATTGAAGCGCTAAAAAGAAGGGTTGCTATTGATCAGTTTTAAGCAAAAATTACACTAGGAAAATTCGAGATGTTGCAGGCCGCCTAGAAACATTCGGGTTTAGCCGCACGTCTCTCAAGACGGCTAAACCCGAATGATTCTAGTTCTAGATCTTGTGTTAGTTCTAGTGATAGTGGAAAACTAGAACTAACACTAGACCTAGAACTAGAAAATAATAGGTTTAGCCGTGCGTCTTCAGAAACTTTCTAGTTCTAGTGTTAGTTCAATAAAAATATACAACACAGTAATATTTTATGCTAACTAGCGCTACCTACAACTGCCACTAGAACTAACACTAGGCAAAGAACTAGAAACATTCGGGTTTAGCCGCACGTCTCTCAGGACGGCTAAACCCGAATGATTCTAGTTCTAGGTCTTGTGTTAGTTCTAGTGATAGTGCTATTGTAAAACTAGAACTAACACTAGACCTAGAACTAGAAAGTATCGGGTTTAGAAGTGCGTCGTCAGATGCACGACTAAACCCGAAACTTTGATAACGGACACTGCCTTTCCTGTATTAATTTGTTATTCAAGGTTTTAGTGTAATGTCAAATTATATTGATATGTTGCATTTTATGTGGGACAAAGTAAGTAGGTACGCCCTAATTTTTGTTATGTTTAAACAAATAAGTATTTAAATTCGTAACTACAGTTTACTTAAAATCCTCTTTGGTTTTAAAACTTCCAGAAAAAAATAGCTTTGAAAAATTATACTGTCTAAACGTGACTTTCCATTTTACTCCTCTGAATTAAAACATAGAGTATAGTTGATAGTGATTATCATATTGACAGTTAACACGATTAATTGGACTGGTGAACATTGATTTCTTTGAATAGCATAATTGGCCCATACTTCTATGAATGAGAATACTCATTTACAACAAGATGAAACAACTTGTCATATAGCTAGAGTTAAATTGAACTTTCTTAGAGAATTTTTTCCTCATCAGTAAAAATGGGAATATTGATTAGTCTCCGCGACCACCAGACCTAAGCTTGTGCGACTATTTTTTATGGGGATATATCCAGTTTAAAGCGTCCCGTGCCTGGCAACTATACAAGGCATAAAAGTGAAACTTGAAGATGAAAACAGCAATACTACGACGTATCAGTGATGATTACTTAGGGTACGTTTACGTTGGAGCTGCAATAAACGATAAGAACCGCGATAAGAGCTGCGCAAAATTCATTTCTATGATATGCAGTTTATAGTGGAGATTTCATAATAGCGACGATCTCTACTTTGTAGGTGACGTTTCATTTATTATATTATATCAGAGCAATTAATTAAACATATATTTTTTTTAAATGAGTGATTCTGCAGAAGAAATACTTTTAACTTCAAATGCTGTAAAGTATTATATTGTTGAAATTGCAAATAAAAAGCGCACATTCCATACACACCCTATAAATATCAAAAGGTATACGTTTAGAAAATTTCATCACCTTCATAAACACTTAAGGCAACACGCCTATCCACTTCTTATTAATCTATTGAAACCTTATAGAAGACAATAAATTGATGTAGATAAAGAATACTTTAATGCTAGGTTATCAAGAGCACAAAGTAATGTTGAATGTGCTTTTGGAATACTGTACAGGGTGGGCAAATTTGGGTGTTATTATAGGCTACCTCAGAAACTATAAGAGATACGAAAAAAGTAGGTGCCATGTCCTACTTTTTGCAAACACCAAACCTCTATCTTCTTTTGTTTTTAAGTTATAGCCAAAAAGAAAATTTTCAAATTTTCAAGTTATACCCAAAAAGCAATTTTTCAAATTTTCAAGTTATAGCCAAAAAGCAATTTTTAGCGCTTACTATTGGAATTGAAAATGAACGCTTATTTTCTGTAAATAAGCGATATATCATTGGAAAGCCAAAAATATGCTTTTTTCAGTATTTAAATCATAATCAACTAGTTTGTATTTAAAACAATACAACTTTATATTGTATCTCAAAAATTATCAGTTATGTTTAAAATTTTTCAACAGCAGTATTCTACTCAAAAAAGTGTCTTAAGAATGTATTAACCTGATTTCTCTAATTTCAAAAATAAACGAAATATGAGCATTTTTTGAAATCGCTAAAATTTGACTTTTTGGCTATAACTTAAAAACAAAAGAAGATAAAGATTTGGTCTTTGCGGGATTGGATTAGTTTCGGAAAAAGAGACCTAGACATGGCACCTACTTTTTTCGTATCTCTTATAGTTTCTGAGATAGCCTATAATAACACCCAAATTTGCCCGAGCAAGAAAGCAAGAAATAGCAAGAAATATCACACCTAGTAATACTGGAAGACCAAAAGAATCTGTGGAAATTTTTCGCAATCTATTTAAAACGTATCTTTGTCGCAATCCAATTTAAATATTATTACTATTGGAGATACATAATTATAATTTATTTGTAGAAATTTCCTATTATTGTTCACACCTATTTAAAGAAATTAAATAAAATAAATTTAATGTATTTTTTTGGTCCCACAAGGGGGATCTAACAAAAACTTCACTAATTAAACAGTCGATGGTCATGCTGACCACACCTAATAATAGCAAAGAAAACAGGGAATCTAATTAACGTCGCTCCAATATAAACACCTGCATAATTACAACATTTACTTTGATTTGCTAGTATCGTCGCTATTATCGTTTATCACAGCTCCAACATAAATGTACCCTTAGACAATGTGTGCAAAATGATACCCGCCTCTACCTGAAGTAATATTTAAAAAATGATTTTTTTGCTTTACATAAAATCACATCTTTTCTCTTAACATTTGTTGCAAAAAAAATTAAATTTATGTTTTATTATACTTTTTTAATACTTTTAATTAGTGCGGTTTGACTGCCCCACCCTATATTTGTAGAGAAAAAATTATACCTTTTGTACAATGGCTGCTGCACAATTAACCTCTCTATTACGCATAGCATTGACCAAAAAATCTCTTAATAAATGCAAATTTGTAGCCATAGCTTGAAGCGATGTAGCCCCACTAATAGCGTGAATAAATTGTTCAACATCCATTGCGTGTTTTTCAAAAAGTGCTGTTAAATCATCCGAGGCGATCGCTCCAGATTGTGCCACTTGAAATGGGGTAGCAGGATGACCTTGTGGTTCCATGGCAACGATGGGTTTTGCCATAAACAGTGCAGTTTCTCGTTCAGACATTGGTAAGAAACCAGGAATATTCCTCGCGAATTCTTCATAAACAGCCATTTGTTGCGGGGTAACACCACCGACTTTCAATCGGATTTGTTCGGGCATTCTTTCAGCTTGATAAGTTAAAGCGATTGCATCACAGTATCTTCGTCCTTCTTGTCGAGCAATTTTTCTCAATTCAAATTCGCTCATTAACCTTTTATCAATTTCAGGAATTGCTTTTTCTATTGCAGTTTTTTGAATAACAGCGCATCCGAGTTCCATATTATCTTGGGCGATCATCGTTGCGGCTTGATCAATCATCTCTTTTTGTTGAGTTGTAGCTCCAACCATTGCACTTTGTAAACTTCCTTTCATTTGAGCATTTATCGACGCTAAAAGTTGATCTCGGCATGTAATCATAGCCATTCCAGCTGTTAAATTTCGTACCATATAATGAGCCGCCACTCGCATTCGATTTTCTTCAAAATCCAAGGCGAAATCTTTTCTAATAATATGCTCGCACGTTTGTAAAGCAATCTTAATTGCTCTTTCAGCTACGGGAAGTACCCATTCATTTACGGCTCTTTCTACCGCTGGTCGAACCAATTGCTTTAATTGTGGTTGACTTTGGAATAAAAGAATTGTTGGATTTATTGTAAGGTGGTTTTGTAACGCTGTACTTCCTGCCAATTGGATGTCCATGTAACTGAAACGTGGTTCTGGAGCGGCAACGGAAGAAGTGGGGGTTGTACTGTTATTCTGCATTGCAGGTGGTGAACTAGCTGTTTGACCAGGAACCGGAGCTAATTCTGGTTCATTCAAACTAGTCGTGGCAATATTCAATTGAGAAACCGCTACTTGCGAACTGTCTTTCTTAAGCGGTTGCGAAAGTTGATATTCAATCTTTCGCAACCGTTCGGCGTCTTTAAGATAATCTGAAGGTTTTAATTGAGACACTTCAATATCCAAGTTTTTGCATAGTACCTCTATTTCAAACTTCAGGTTTAACTTTAACTCCGGCTCTTGATGCAATTCTGCCAATACATTCATTATAGCCATGGTCCATGGATTTGGTGGTTTAAACACTTTACTTTTCGCACACGATTCTAGGATTTTCGCCACGAAGGGAACCACATAAAGAAGCTCTTGTTGACCTTTGTGATAAGCTTCAACTAATAACGATTTTAAATCAAGATCGTTTTGAAGAATTGGCTTATTTCTTGCTAAGGTTAACATGCCTAACCAGTGTCCCAAATTTTTCAATAATGATCTAAAAATTTAAAAAAAAATATTAACTTTTTTAAAACACAATCACTTTTTCAAGCAAATTGGGTTGCATACTTTCAGTATTTCTATATAGTAAATTTAAATTTTTACGGTTGGTAGTAAATTTTAAATTTTCCCCCTCTACATCACTAACGTAACGGTCATTTTAGTTGACAGAAACAAGTTTACATATCGTATATAATTGAGTGTTGTTTTCTCTTTTAAAACTGTGAAAATGTCAACAGAAAAGCCTATAAAACCGGCGACTCCTTCGCCAGCGCCAAAGGATGACACGAAATATTTAAAACCCTGCTATAATTGCAACAAGAAATTTCGTACTTATACAGCTTTATCTAAACACCTGGTTTCTGATCATAACATGAAAGGAACCCCAAAACTCGCCAAGGGAATTGGTAAACATAGCGGAGTTCCCGTCAATCCCAAGTTAAGAGCAGCCGCGCAAGCTTTAAAAGAAAAATTGGCGCAACAAAAAAAATAATTTTGTAATTTTTTAGTTATAAGAGACTACTATATTTATGTATTGTATAGTTTTAGTTACTCATAAGATTTATAGACGACATTTAATGCAATAAAATGTATAATTAGTTTAAAAAAAATTGTGTTAATTACTCACCGATCCGAAAAATTTGCAATAACCTTATCTGCCCTCAATAAAACCTTGATGTTACGGTAAGTTTCTTTAGTAACCATTCTATTCACTTCAGGCATCTTCAAGCAATCCAAAAAGTTAGAATATAACCCATGAAAATTGAGTTCAATGGATGCCCTCTTCATAACCAAATACTGAGAAATCCATGGCCAATACTCTTCCGTTACAATATCCCTTACTTCATCACACTTCGTTTGCAAATTCAACTGACTCAAGTTATTAAAAATAAACGCTGTTTTATCTTGTAAACTTTCCGGTGGCGACGTGATCTTTTCCTCTTTCTCAGTCGCAACCAATAAAGTATCAATGTTCGTCGCATTTGCAATCGAAGGTCTTGTACCCAACGGAGTCGTGGTCGTACTCGTTTTTGAGGTTATTACCGAAGATGAACTACTTTTGTACACTTGAGTACTCGAATTACTACTAACCGGAGCCAGCATTGTAGCTAAACTCGCAGGAAGAACCGAACCGGTAGGTTTTGTTGGGGGTTCCAGACTTTGCAATCCAAATTCAACGTACTCGACCAAATGTGGTGGAAATTCATTAAAGTGCGGTATCGCTCGAACGTGTTCGCAATATTTATGATAATCCTTCAGTCTTGACTTAAAGCGATCTAAAGCGACTATCCCGAAATAATACATTTTAGATCCCTCAGTCTTCCGAAGAGCATCAAGAACGAATCTGAGAGCTAAGCCTAAAGCCATATAAGATGTTACCAAACCTCTTTCAATTATCCCACCGAAAAGTTGTGCTGTGATATATAGTTCCTTGTCTGGGTATTGTGGAAAAAATCTGTATTCTTCAAACAAATTTCTCAACATACAATTAAATACCTATGAATTAGAAAATAACAGTAAATTAATCTTAAAATTTAATTAACTCTTACTGGTTAAGAGTTGAAACGTTATTTTTAAGGTTGAAAAAATATCTCTAATATCTAAGTAGAACAGTTTTCAATGTAATACATCAAGTTTGTTTCGATTTTGACATTTCATTACTTGGGAGATGCTGAAGATACAATTCTGCCATCAATGGCTGTTATGTGTGTATGATTAGAATAATAATATAGATTTGAATGATTTTATGCTACAATAATGATGGTTCTTTATCGACGTTGATAAAAATGCCATTTGTATTCTGGATATGATGGACAAATTCTGGATATGGTATTCTGGACAAGTTCATACGATATTTGAAGGAGGGAGAAATAGAAATGTATACGAACTTTTGCGTTATTAGCTGTGGTTATATAAACAACAGCGGTAAAGTGATAGTTATAGTAGCTGAGGTCGCTTACGGCCGAGACATTACAACCTTTTGAATCAAAAAGTTATTTGCCGAGGTACTACAGTCTACAGCGTTGAAGAGATAGAAGCTGAGGGCGTACAATATATAATATTCATCTGTATTAAGAAATTATTAGTTTAGGTGCTAGAATCTACTGCGTTAGAGAGATAGAAGCTTGCTGTAGAGGTATTATAAATCACAACGTTAAAGAGAAGAAGACCTTTCAAATGGATGCAACCTTATAAAATAAAGAACTATCAGATGGTGATAATTTTATAGATGTAAGCATATGTGTGAGGGTCCGGGACTAGCTTGAAGTTTTGACTAACTACCGTATTTTCTCGAATCTTATCCGCATTCGAATCTAATCCGCACCTCGATTTTAAAAATGCAATGGTGGTAAAAAAAGTTGGTTTATCAATGTAATCCACATCCGATTGCAATCCGCATTTGATTTTAGAGCATATAAAATTTGTAAAAAGGGTGCGGATTAGATTCGAGAAAATACGGTATATATAAATACAAAGTGGCAGGCAAACTACAATTTAAAAATATAGAAAATCATTAAAAAATTAGGGAGGATAAGGAGGAATTCATTTATTTGATTGATGGGGACAGATAGGCACAGTGGTATGACTGGAATTGTAAATATTACGAAAAACGAGAAAAGAATAGGGAATTATATCCAAAGGGAATAGCATAGAATTAAAGACCATGATAGCAGTAGTACAAGAGGTTATTTTGTAATAAGGGATGGTTTAAAGGCAAGAATTTGGAAACGTAGATGTGTGAGTTAGAATAATAGTAGATTGAGATCACCAATATTTAGAATTACTGCGTCTTCAATTAAATTAGTTAAGCATGATAATTTTTATAAGTTTGCAGTACGCAATTCTTGTTGATAATATAGCAGATATCAGCAGGTGACGTTTGACCCTAAAATTGATAATGTTAAAAAGATATGAAAATACCTAAATAAAATTCAAAGTTAAGAATAAAAGATTAAATTTATTACACAGAAAGAAATTTTTATTAAAGTAATTAAGGTAAGTAGAGAATGGTAGAAAGCGGAAAAATAATGATCAAAGTCGTTTGGTAAAGCTTTCAACTTTATAAAGAAAGACGAAGATTATCAAAGATAAATCAACGAATGAAGAGAATAAAACAATTTATTAGAAAGGTTATGGCAAGAATAGCATATTGGAAACGCAATGAGAAGATGAGGAGCGCAAGAATGTAAAATGAAATGTAAGACATCTAAAGGCCAAAACAGGGAAAGTTTGAGAATTTCTAAGACTACATAGATAGGCAAGGAAGAACAAATAAAAAGAGGTTGTGGACATAAACGTAAAGTACAAGAATTATTTCAACTTTAGATACTAAAGACGATCCATATTGGGTAACAATTTTGCTTTGTTCTAGATTTGATCGAGAACTGATTCATATCTGCTCCTTCATTCAAGTCATTACTATCAGATTGAACTAAATTCCTGTCATTTCAATCACTAATACATATTTGCTATCAATACCTTATAAACTACAAAGTCTATGACTACAATCTTCGCTAGAGAGTTGTGACAGATAGATAACGTTTTTCAGAGAAACTGAAATTGATTTCACTTGAGAATGTGGCTTGAAAAGTCGATCAATGCTATGACAACAGGAACAGTTAAAGTTTTGTTGTTTTATTCCAATTAATTTTAATAAATTAGCATTGGTCAGTAGATACTAATAATTATATCCAAGCGAGACAGGATCAAGTAATACTATAAAAACAATTTCTATGGATGAAGAAGATTCTCTCTCATTCATGTTATAGAAGAGCTATCTGTAAGCACACATCGATTAAGACTATTGATAGGACTAAGCCAATCATAAACCTGCAGAGTAGTAAACAATGAAAAATTTTCTTCAAAATTTGTTACCATAAAACTATGTGAAATCCATTTGGTGAATGATTAGACGTTATATAAACACACGATTACAAAGTAGCATACAAGACGGCGTTGAGGTGGTGTATTTCTGTTTCTTTATTGGCCCACTTGAATGTTACCCAACTTAAATGGTTATCATTGATCATTTATAGTAGCTCATATATGATCTATCAGTGATTGTAAAAAATATGATGCGGTTTATGAAGGGCAGAGAATTGATTTGAACCAATTAAACACCTTGTTTATGTAAAGTTAAATTAAGAAAAACAATAAAAAATAAATAAAACAATGAATAGGATGAAGAGAAAGTTTCTAGCGGAAAGACGAAATGCAAAGTGAAGAAGGTTATTTGCCTTCTTCACTTTGCATTTCGAGAGATTTCGAAAATTCGGTACTCTCAATTTGTTAAATTAAGATTTGATGAACAAATGTTTAAATTTTTGAAAAATTTGTGATTATTCCCCTTCAAGATACTTGTTACTAATGTTATAATTGTGCTAATGATTTATTACATGATCATTGATTGCTTAATTCATCGAAATCGATCGATTTTCGTATAACCTGCTATAAAATATTTCAATCTAATTTTACTTCCAAACCATTTAACATTAAAAAGAAAATATATAAGCAACCGTAAAAAGAGGTAGCAAAAGCATTAACAATATAGTAACAACGTAAATAAACTAAATATTTAAAGTACATTCAACTCATGAAGTATAAGACATGTTTCGTTAAATTGTTAACCAAATAAAACTGTCGAAATCAACAATCTTACTTTGACTTAAAAATACCACCTTGATCTATGTTAATTTCTAGGCTATCTATAAACATCACATTCAATGTTAAAACTTAATTTTTATATCTTTTTATAAAAACAACCAAAGAAATAACGTTTCACAGTTTCGATTCAAACTTACGTCTCTTTCCCGTTTAATTGGTGAATCTTGAAATCTCTTAAGCATTTCCAAAACTTCATCAATCGATAAAGTTGGATGCGGCGGATGATTGTATATCCTCTGAAAGTAACTGTTTGCTTCGTCCTCTATGTCCTTCGCAACGTTGGCCATATCGGGGAAGACGTTCTGGTCGGGAATCCTCGGCGGTTTATCCAAAGCTGGATTCGGCGCCAATCTATTCAGACTACTTAAATTTGTAACGTTCGGAACGAGGGAAGCCCCCGTTCCGACCGGTCCTTGATGTTGTAAGGGTAACATTGGAAACGGACTGTTTGAAGGTCCCGGTCCAGCACCTAAAATACGCGAAGGAGATCCCGGCGACGGAACGAGCTGCCCCAATCCGCCTTGTAAGTTGAACGTTGAGTTCGCTGGACCGCCTAAGCTGATGTTGGCGAGTGTGTTTCCGAGACCGGAAAGTTGATCGACTGTTGGAGGATTATAAAGAGGTCCCATTGCTGTTGGATTGAATGGTCCGTCCATACGATTCGCTCGAATTAAAGTCGTTGGTTGTTGACGCGCTTTTAAGTACATGTTGCAAGTTGTTGCTAGTTGGATGATTGCTTCTTGACATTCGGCGCTAACACTTCCGGCGCAAGATTGCAGGCACATCAGAATCGTGGTCAGGGTTTCTGTTGGAAGTGGAGGTATCTTTGCTAAAGAAGGTTCGTCATTTTTACCTGAATAAATTTATTTTACATTAATATTATTAGTTGTTGGTCTGCAAAACTTTTATTAAAAAATTCAAAAACATTTTTTTAGGGGCAACAAGACAAAACCATACGATATTAATGAAAATAAATCGTGGGAAATATTTCAATTTGTAATGTGTTTGCCTGTGTTGTTTATAGTAGTAATTTATGCTGTTTGTTCGAAAAGATGAAATTAAAAAATTATTAAATTAATTATTTCAACATATTGTATCTTTAAAAAAATCATCTTTTCGAAACTTTGTGGAGATAGTGATTTTTTTACGATTATTAACTTACCAGTTAATAATTGAGGACACCTCCTATGTAAAAATTTTATACAAGCAAAAACAAAGTTTTCACCATGTTCTCGGATCTTATCAGCAATCCATTTTTCTAATTTAAGATATTCTCTTCTCGAAGCCAAACAGGCCAAGTCGATAATAAAAGGATAAGATTGTGTTGATTGAGCATTTAACAGCATGGAAAGCGCTTTTAAATCTTGGGCTACATCTAGAATTCTGGATAATCGAGTTTGATCACATTCACCCCTTGTATACCATTCAGCCATCGAATGCATGATGATGTTTTTAAAGTTTAACGTTTGCGTGTGCCAGGCATGATGTAAAATGACGGCCGAGTTTGGATGATTACCAAGAAAAATCGGTATTAAATTCGTTAAAAGTTCCTGTCGGAGCATCGTTACAGAACCGTGGACTTGTATAAGTGCAAGAACCAACACGTCGGGAATAGTTGTTAATGGCACTTTATACAACTCGTAAACGGGATGATAAAGATTGTTGCATTCTGATAAATGTAACAGTAACTCAATCAAATTTAACGATCTCCAATTTGCTAATTCTTTGCTGTCTTGTTCAGGTGGTGTTTTTAGCATATCAATAGCAACTGATGAACTTGGATAATCAGCGAAGCAGAACACATCGGGATTTTTCAATATCAATTGAATCAAACTGAATTGTCCTTCGTAATTAACCCATACACGGTAAAATTTATCAACAGGGAACGTGTCTGGATGAAACCCACTATTTTGAAGTCCTAATCGCAGAGCCTTGAACAATGTAATTAATCCTTGCCGGTCTTTTAGCATAAAACCGTTATGGTCTAAATCACTAATCACGCTACTCCAGGCAAAATTCGGATTCACCTCTTTAATTGTCTGTATAAACACCTCAATGTTCCATGTTCGTCCTTCCAAAGATTTATTAAACGAACCCGGTTGCTGTAAATTAATAGAATCCTCTATGGTGCTGGTTTGTTGGCACATTACCGTCAGAATTCGAGCCACGTGAGCAGACGTGATATCGCGCACACCCAATTTCAAGAACGTATTGCGACACTCCTCGACGCTGGCCGTAAATCCGAACCCGACCTCCCGTATAATGTCCGATAGGGACGTGTCCAACATACCCCCGGATAAACCGGGGCCCTCCGAGCTCATCTCGGGGCCGATTTCGCACTCCTCCGGATACACGAGCGGCGCTAAAACGACCGGAACTATATCTTTCGGAAAGTCTTTTTTCAATGTCGCTAAGAAGGTAGTATGAAGATCGTTGCTAAGACCAACGTCTTTTGGAGATTTAAGCACCACTGAGAGGATTAAGTGTAGGACCTCAGGTGTTGTCTCGTGAAGGCCGCCCGCGTGTTGACTGCTACTACCCTCGGTGTCCACGTACGATTTCACCAAATCGGGGATGCACTCGCGTAATCTGTTCTGAGCATAACTCACTAATTCGGAATTCGATGAGTGGCAAAAGGCGAGTGCGAAGATTGCTTCTTGCACCGGCGTCAGGCGTAGGCACTTGCACAATTGTTGAAAGAATTGAGACCCAACCTTCAATGTCTATAAATTTAAACACACATGTAGTAACGGTATTTATTAAATGCAAACAATAAAAAAAGTTTATTTTAAAAGCGCTTTAATACACATCGGTATTTATAATTTAAATTGGTACGATGCGGTCAACACTCAAGATGTGCTAATTTTCTTGGAGGCTACTGCAAAACCTCTAAAATTAGAAAGTGTGATTTTGGAGACATTTCCTGATACTATATGTATATTTAGAGACGGACTTTATGAATTTTACACGAGAATGGTTAATTATACATTCAGAATTTCAACTTTAAAATATCAAATTCTAAAAATTAATTATTAAAAAAATGCAAGCTATACATTTGTAATATTCATATTAGTAACCTTCATAGAAAATGTATCGATTTAATCGATTTTATTCCTTAGTTTATATTGATTTATTTCTATATTATTGCTACTTATATTTTAAATTAAAGTAAATCAATTTTTATAAAATAAAAGTTGTATTTTACTAAATATAAAGTTTTATTTACAAACAGTTAAGATCCACACAGTTCTTTTTAAACCTCCACTCGATAACCTATTTCGTAAATTATGATATAAATGGCGTAGATGTGACTTTCAATGTACGATAACCGTTGTGTTTCATTGGCATCGTTCTATTTTGAGTCATATCATATTTCTAAACTAAAATGGTTTATCAAGAGGCGAAAATTGCAACAAGGTAATTGAATGTCCAGATATAGTCTCTGTGTACAAAGTGCACGTAGGAGGAATCAACCTACAATACTTAGAATGGAAACGTAGAAAAAAGTACATGCGAATTTTCTGTCACATTAATGTATACCACTATACACTTCAAAAAACTTGACTACGGATGTGTTCATTCAAATTTGCTGAAAAAAACGAAAGCCTAGTACTAATTCTCAAGTTCCTTTACTTCTAAGAAGTAAATTTTTAGTGTATCGCTCGATAAACTATAATAAGTATAAATAAAACAACCACAAGGAATAAACATAAAATAGATACAATATAAAAAACACGAACCCATAAGTAGCGGGCGGTTACACCACGCTACAATGTAAGGAAATAATATATTTTCCATTCAAACGTGAACATTTCTGAACCGATTTAAAACCATTTACATGTACAATTGATGGACCAACGTCACGAATATTAATTGCGAATGGTAGAGTCAAATAAAGTAAATTAATTGGAATTAAATAAATGTGTAGAACGTAACACAACTAAAACAAACAGAAGGAAATAAATACCTTTAGCGTTGAAAGAGACGAATAAATTAGCACCGCCAAGTTTAAGAAACACAATAAAATATACAAGTGAAGAAAAACTTTATAAAACAACTACTGTAGTAGAAATTACATAAAGCATTCAAAATATACAGTTATATACATTTTTATCACTCGCTGTCAGCAACTCATTTTCATGATAAAAAGTACAAATAACACATGGCTCTGCAGGTTTAATGAAAAAATGAGCTGTATTTGTGTATTGAAGCCAATGAAGCACTAAAAGTTAAATGACCTTCAGGAAATAGAATGACAATAAAATAGACTTCCCTAAAAAGTGAAGATGAACTAATTAAATAATAATAAGAAAAGTCAACAGACTAATTAAGTAAGGAAATTTTTTCATAAAACTCTAGTAGCAAAAGAATTTGGTAATAATTTCTTTCTTACTTCTTTGAAAAGCGCATTCTAGCTTTGGGTCGCCCAGAGACCACTGGGATGGGAATTATTCTTCTGATTTCAACCAATACGACTCATTTTTACGAGACAATGTTAAAGACGGAGTTTACACAAATAATCCAGAAATCATTGCTGTGTTCAAAACAGCCATTCAGGTTATCGAAAACATTGATGTCTCGACACTTCAACGACTTTTGTAGAATGTTGCTCTTCCTCTGTATTAACTAAATACGAATATCAGTTACTGGCAAAATTTGAGTCAAATTTTTGAACTCAGTAGTGGTTTTTGAAAATTTGATTTTCTATTGAATGAAGAAATCAAACAACAATGCGGAATACAAAACATAGGAAGATGGATGAGACAGAGACGAAGAATCCGGGGCAAACATATAAAAAGAATGGAAGATGGCAAAAACAACATTAAAAACGGAAAAATGAACTGTAAACCCCCCGTAGGAAAAAGATCACAGGGAAGACCACCAAAAGAATAGCGTGAATGTTGGACCTCATCAAGTTTTTTCCATTTCAAATAGCTCAATGATTGTCATTCTGTACTGCCAGCAAGGGTGAAGAACGCCAAGAACTTATTTAATAGCAAATGGACAGCAGCCGCTGAATTGATTGTAAATAAATGACGAGTTCAAAATTTTTGCATGTCATAAAAACTCCAATGCTTAGTGCAAAAGACGTGATGATTTGGCGGTGTTTACTTTTGATTTGATGCAAATGTTTAATTTGATACAGTTAAAGCCCTAATGAAGTTCCTTAATGTGTATTGAACTATATTCAAAAAGAAATTTAAAGTTAATACTATACTCTTCAAAAAATTACCCCCATACAGTGACAAGTTCTAGTTTAGAGCAATATGCGACTTTCCAAAGCTCTCAAGAAGCTCGGGAAAATATACTCTCTCAACTGTTACTTAAAAATTACTTCTACTTTAAGTACAAACAACAAATCTATAAGCAATGAAACTTCTTCTAAAGACATACATGATTTCAAGAGCTAGTACTATAAATATAACTGCTAATTCTTCTGAAATTATGAAACTAAGGAAGAGTGGCTCAAGCCATTAAGGAATTATTTTTAATATTCATTTCTATTATTTTCTTCTTCAACATAAAGCTCTTGGGTAAATAAAACGCCACAAGTTCTGAAAGGACTGTGACAAAGATGTCTTGAATTAAAAGTGATTTGTGGTATCAGTAACAGTACAATTCGAGCAAGAAGTGAAGGCGAGTCGACAGTACAATTGACGATGTTCGATAAAAATTTTCTACTAGCATCTTCTTTACGATTGCTCCAAGATGAAAAGTTAAATTCTTCCAATAACGCAACGTGTAGTCAACACCTCACTCCGGATACTAACCAACTGTTTTAAAATGTAAGTGTTTTAAGAACCTTTTCTCTCTCAAGCATGAGCTAGTGGGAGTTATTAACAAGGATACCAAACCAGGGAACCATATTCCAATTTTGTACGAACAAACGCATATAAAAAGTACTGTTAATGCGGCTACGTTGTTACATTTTTTACATTGTCTGATGATAAAACTCAATGCACCAGAGGATGACTTTACTACAGCGTTAACGTGGTCTTTGAATTGCAATTGGTTATCGAATAAGACACCCAGATCTCGAATAGCGCATTCCATTCTGTACAGACCAGGAACTGACAATGTTCAGATTGCGCTGCAAGATAACACAGTCTTCAGGGGATCTTACACGAGCGAATATCTTTAAGTGATCAGCGTAAGCAAGCACATTACAATCAAGTCATGGTAATAGATCATTAAGAAAATAAACATTGAAAAGAAAGGGACCCAGGTTGGAATCCTGTGGAACAGCAGAGCCAGCTGTGAACGTATCAGATTTAACCGTTGTAGCTCATATAGCAAAGTCTATTGGAGAGATAAGATGAAATTAAATCCACGAAATCATTGGTAAATCCAAAAATGCAGAGTTTAGAAAGAAGTATTCCATGATCTAATCCATCAAATGTCTTTGTAAAATTTGTTACCTCTGCTAAATTAGTCATAGTTGAACAACCAGTCATAAATCTGTGCTGATGATCAAATATATATGAGCGAACACAGTAGCTTATTCTGGATTATAGCAACATATCAAAAACCTTTGAGCAATTGTTCAAAATGCTAATAGGTCGGTAATTTTTAATACTAGATATTCCAATTAGAAGAACTTTTTGCAGCTTTTGAACCTGCTTTCAACATGCTTTTAAAAATAATGGCTATGCGACTAAATATTAGTTAAGCAACTTGTGAGTTGGGTAACTTTTGACTCGTCTTTTTCTATCAGAATTTGTATTATTTTTTGTTTGTGTATGAATATTATATATACCATAAAACTATTATGTTTCTTTATTTCAATACATTTGTTTTCAAGTCTTTATAGTTAATTTTTCTTTTTGATTATTCTACTTCTGCAAAAATTATATATTATTATATGGTTACTTAATTTATGGTTTTATGGTAATTTGAACATGCAAAAAACTTCGTTAAAATTTATGAGCACCTTGACTTTGCTTTTAAATTCTTTTCAATACTATAATAATTATTTTTATTTCAATTAATTTAGTTCTTATGATTTAGTTTCATTCCACTCTAAAGTAAAATATTGCAGAGATTTAAAAGTTAAGGTAATTTGAATATGCAAAAAACTTCGTAAAAATTTATGAGCACCTTGACTTTGCTTTTAAATTCTTTTGAATACTATAATAATCATTTTTATTTCAATTAATTTAGTTCTTATGATTTAGTAAAAATATTACAGAGATTTAAAAGTAATAAAACACACGAAAAAGCTATTGATATTCTTATGTTGAAAAGAACCTTGACTTTGCTTTTAAATTCTTATTAATTTTAAAGTTGTTATAATTGAATTTGAAAATAAATGTTTGTAAACTTTTATGACTCAAAATTGTTTATGTATCAGTAAGTAAATGGTATTGAATGTATAAGTATGAAGGCTTTCACAGTTGGTGTTAATTAAACTAAAACTAGAAGTAACACTATACCTAGAACTAGAAAAAATTTTTAACAAAGAAACAACAGTGTTCACTTCAAACTTGTTTCTGAAAAAGGTTGCAAAATGGCATCCGAAACGTTAAAAATTTTTTCAAAAAACGCATGGTTTAACCCAAAAGTTTCTAGTTATAGGGTTAGTTTTAGTTTAAGGTATTGAATGTGTTAATTATAAAAATAAGATTTAAAAATCACTTACCTTTTGACTATTGATAGGTTTATCTGTGATGTAACAGATAGATGACAACAGGGATGGTTTGTTGAGTAGCTGAGAACACTGTTCCAATAGAAGTTGACTATGTGGTGTTGTTGGTGGCGCAACTATTTTACCAGAAGATGTTTCAGTAAAATCCACCGAAGAGAACAGGCATTGCAGCAAGTGTCGGTCAGCCTCTAACCCGTGCAGAGTCACTAACTATTCGTAATAGATAAAATAGCAAAAAGCAATAGAGTTAATTGTTTGATAAAAAACAGTAGGGTCCCGATTAGTGCAAGTTAAGATCGAGCATAACCACAGATAATTCTTCAATTTGGAGTCTTTGGAAACAATTTTTGAAATAAACTCCTTTAGTAAGCAAATTTTTGCTCTATTTATTTACTATTAATTTCGTTATAACAATTCGTTCAAAGGACTCCAAAGTTTCTCAATTAAAATCATCCTGGAAATACATAAACTTAAATTATATGGTGATCCACACATGGATAATCGGGTTTCTACTGTAATTGTTAACTTACAAGAAACGAAATGATGACAAAAAAACGAAATAAATCAACAAAAATGAAAAACTGTTAAAAATACGCGAACGGAAATTGTGGCCCCATGTGAATAACTCGCGAAACTGTCACCGTAAAGAAAACGACAAAATGCCAAAGAAAAAATATACAACGACAATCAAGCAACATCTTTGTTCTACATGTTTGCAACGAGCAGATGCCGCAGATGGTAATATCGAAACCTGTATGTAGGTAATCGACTGACTGACGTTCAATCACAAATATGGCGTTTTACAATTAACTCTTTTTTTAACATGAAATTTTTGTATCATTTTATGACTAATGATGAAATATAATTAACGTTATTTCCCTTTACTTACCTTTGTTAACTCCTCTACAACTTGCTTCGAGTTCTTTTTAGTTAATGAGCCAACTAAATAACTTATTTGCGACAAAGTAAAAGACAACGAGTCCAGGTTCATAGTTCCATGAACACGGCCTCGAAAGCTTCAAGTACGTTTGAAGCTTTCTCAGGTATCCACGGGCGTTCTTTCCACAATGTCTTACTTGCTATGGAAGGACAACTAAACTTTAAATGGTCCAAGACCATCATCGGATCGTTTTTTTTCCAACTCCGCACACTTCAATTTACTTTTTCAATCATCCTCGAATAACTAACAATGCATGCAACACGCAACACATGTACCAGAATAATGACGTTTTAATTCCAATGCGCATGTGCAAACTCACTATTTATTATCGTTTCCTCTAATCGGTTTCGTATATATTCACCAACAATTTTTATATAATTCCAATTTTAATTTCAATTTTATTAATATAACAAAAATCATCCAAAATATTATAAAATGATTATTTTTATTGACAATGTTATTTATTTGTCATTAGTACTTATGATTACTAGCAATAATATCAAGTTCATTATATAATTTTTTTTAAAGATTATTTATAAATATTAAACAATAATATTTCAAAAACTTAATTATCCATTTTTATTAATTGTTTTGAATTAAATGCTTTTTAAAAAATTATTTAGTTTTTATTACATTTTTATTATACGTCATTTGAATGGTTTCGATTATTATTTTATATTATATTCAAAATAAAATTTTGTAATTAATTATTTTTTATAAACCAAACCAAATCTTATGTATAACTAATTCTTTTTATAATAAAAGAAACATAAAATTGAATATGAAGATATAAACAATTTAATCGAAATCTTATTGTATTTATGAAACGTCACTTTTAAAATTTTAACCTCAAAGTACATCAAAAAAGACTACAAAAAAAAAGTTGTAAGTTGCGAATTTCGGTTAAATTTTCCACATAGCATGGACGAATCTCATATTTCCAAATTTAATAAATCGTTTGCAAGATCTGAACCTAATCTTCCCCGTTGTAGGCAAATAAACGTAACGGAATATTTCGGTAATATTAGCAATAATCATTCGTTGATAAGACATTATAGCTTTAAAGAATTGCGTGGGGAATTGGAAGGTATTTAAACACGTTTTATTATCAATTAATATATATTTTATTTTTATTTTCAGAATCCTCACAATTTTTTGCTACAAATGATAGCCATTATGAGTATGGATTAGGCTCAAATACACCTCAAATTGATTATCATTTACATCAATTTTATAACAATGATTATTGCTTTGAAGAAACCTTAAAAAAGGATTTTAACGATAGTCCTATGGATATTGATCAATCCCAAGAGTGTGTGGATGTATTGTTAAAAGAAAATTGTTCCTACAAAACTAAACTGAATACAAAACCAATAAATGATTTAAACGAGAAAGTTGAAGAAATAGAGAGTGTTCAAACTATTGAGAAAATGACGAAAAATGAATCAAATAAACAAAGTGGGATGGGTTGGGGTAACATTATTTTAATTTTTGTTGTAGGTGTATCTCTAAGTTTAGGATTTTTAATTTATACCGATGTTAATTTAATTGACATTCAATTGAATGATATTGAGAATGACCTAAAATTGAATATTTTTAATCAAAATCATATTATAGACCGTATAGTTTTTAATTTAAACAAAATTCATACAAACACAGAATTTAAGAGGCTTTTAATTTTAGTGGGTAGCACTGGAGTTGGAAAAACATTAATTTTAAATCGCTTAAAAATGTTTTACCCTGCAAAGCTGATTGTTTCTTTAAATTATAATGTAAACAAAGAGATTATTGAACAAAAATCCGATATTTTCTTCACAAATAAATGCTTCATTTTATTAATCGATGATTTAAAAATAAATCAACTGGAAATTATTGAAAATTTTACCAAAAATTTACAATCTCAATGTGTGTTCATGATTTTAGCTTTTAACGTGCAAGATACTAATAATGATTTAACACACATCATTCGTCACGAACATTTTAAAGAAATCTCTCAATTTTTTATGCAAAGAAATTCGATTTCTGAGACGTTAATGCTCAATACTATGAATAAAAGAAATTTAGAAAATTTTATTATTGATATTGTTAAGAAAAGGGGGATGAATCCTGATAAACACATTAATTTTATTCAAAATTTAGTTAAAAATCATGATGTTGATAAGCATGGATTTAAAGGAATTGTACCAAAGATAAACCTTATAGAATAATTTAATGATATAAGAATTTTTTTACATTTAATAAATAAACTTTTTTGCGATTTAAAAAATTCTATTTATTTTGGATCCCAAAAAACCTTATTAATTTAAAATTATATAAAAGTAATCTACGTCATAAACAAACATATTAATCTACTTCTAATTTTCTAAAATTTCCGGTAACTCCATATAAAACGTCATCTTGACTACTTAAACTTCCGCAAGTAGTTCCGTTTCGTTTCAAAGCAGAAACAGCACCAACTCGGGCTTGTGGGGAAAATAATTCTTCGCGAACTGCCATATCATCGTGAGATAATAATATCGGCTGCCGTTTGTAAAGTTCTTCTTTCCATTGGGAAATCATTTCTGCCATTGGAATATCTCCTCCATATTCTTTAGGGAGAACTCTTTTTTCAATCATTCCTGCTTTTAACATGTCGTCTTTTGATGTGTAAAAATGGAAACGTTTTTTGATTTTTTCAGAGATTAACGACAATCCGAAATCGACGGCGAATTTCATTGATGGGTTCACATTTATTACGTGAACTTCTTTATGACGCATTGGTAATGTTCTCTGTTACAGAAAGAAATTGTTATTATCATTATTTAACTTGATTTAATAGTTGACAAGATTTCAGATGGGAAAAACCAAACGAAAAAAAGAATAGTATCCCTAGGTCTTATACCAACAAGTTCCTCTTCATTACATTTCATCATCTCAACGAGATCTGATTTGTGAATCATAGCTTTTCAAAGATTTGAAGAATGACCCAAATCTTTGCATCAAGATATTATTACAAGTGTATTTTTTTCTCCTGGAGAATCATGATGGCGACAATGAAGTTGAACTCTTTGAGCAATAGGGATAGTAACACCGGAAATAGTAAAAGGAGCTTTCAGTTCAGTACACAAAGAGGATTGGAAATAAATAATATGGATCTGTCTCATCCAAATTGACTCGAGTTAGGAATGGTTATTCTGTGACATCTGTATAACTAGCTCGACGGAACTGACAACAGTCTTGTATTTAGAGAAAAGATAATATAGGTCTTGTTAAACGCTGGGACTAACTCGGATAATACTTACTCATAGAATAAGAAAACAAGAACGCCGAGATGACAGGCGTACATTTTATTTATGGGCTTGCTGAATTTCCAAAGTATTCATCAACGTCTTTATGAAACAGGCTCATTGAAACGAAGTGGAGTATCAGGAAGACCAATACTTCGAAGGGGATTGTTTTGAAACTTCTTAAAAATTATTTGTTGTACCCATACCATTTACAACGCGTTCAAGCAGTTCTACCTGCTGATTTTCTTCCACATTTAGTATTCTGTCAAAGACTTTTGGGGTAAATTGGTTCAAATCCCTCAACTATTTGAACGACTTTGATTCTTTTTAATGAAGCGAATTTTTCAAGAAATGCAATAAGTACTTCAGCTAACTAAAGAACGATTTCAAGATCAGTTCTCGTCGAACATTTGGGTTGGAATTGTGGGTAACTGGCTAGTTAGTCCAGTATTTCTATCAAGAACACTTACCGGCGAAGTGTATTGCTACTTTTTGGAACAAACGTTACATCAGTTTCTAGAGGATTCTAGATTGGCAATAAGAAATTCAATGTGGTTTATGCATGATGGCGCACCAAACCATTTTTGCAGTTTTTGACAATAACATATGGAGATCGCTGGAGTGGTCGAGGTGGATCTCACTTGTGGCCTGCACGATTCCCGGACTTAAACCCTCTGGATTTTTTTTATGGAGCCACGGAAAAGGTACACAAATCGAGATAGAAGATTTGTGACCAGGATAATTGAAGAAAATAAAATGTGGGAATGATACAACAGAGAGTGGAGAATTGAAAAATACCCTAGAGATATTTACGAGAAAATACTACATTAAAAAGCTAACACTTAGAAATCTCTTCTTTTTACAGCCTAAAACTAAAAGTTTTGATTCTTTACCTCTTCTGGATTGGTTTTTGTTTACATCGGAAATCTGGTCAACTTTATATTGCATTCTATCTACAATATTTCAAGACTACTACGTAATATTACTAGTTTTTTAATAAGTAAAACCTAAAAAAATCTTTTTAAAAATAAAAATTTACTTCTCCATTTTTAACGATTCGAACGGCCTCTTTAATAGTAAAAAGTGTTAAATAAGGAAACCCAATTCCTTGACCATCTGCAATATGAACAAATCCCCTAACTTGGTCTTCTTCATTTTCCAAAAGCGTTTCATAAACGATTCCGTGAATTCTGCACATATCCGCATTTGTAAATTTTTCCAAATCAAAAACACCTATTACAAAAAAACTACTCGAATCTTTTCTTATCAATTCCAATAAATTATTTTTTTTAACCTGGTCTTGCTATAATAACTCTTCTTCCTAACCTATCTCTTATAGGCGAAGCAAACATATATCCCAAATCGGTTAAATCTTGCATCATTGGGATTCTCATATCGAAATTATTGAAAGCAATTCCGAAAGATTGGCGCAATAAAAGATAGCGTTCCATCGCTTCTTGAGCCTGCATAACACTGAATTTTTTGAAACGAAGAAACCTTAAGAGAAAATTAGCATCTAAAAATAAGTATAAAGTTGTAATTATAAAGTAATTGGAAATGAAATTTTAATAAAAGATTTATAAAAAGTGATGAAAAGTTTAATACAGAACCTAAACGTGAATTTAATATTTTCGGATTCATCCGAATCCATTCTCTCATCGATTCCAAAGCTTGTCTTCGCGCGTTATCATCTTCTCGAAGTTCCTCTTTAGCTAAATCTTGAGTTTCTTTTGGAAGGGTGCAAATGTAATCGTTTGGTTCGGTTACCCATTTTACTTCAGACATTTTAAAACTAAAAGTAAAGCAAAAAATTATAAACTTTATAAAATCAAATAAGATTTTCTTGTTATTTTAAGAGAAAATTAATTTAATTACACGGAAATTGACGATCAGGCATAAAATCGATTAAAAAAAGAAAAAATTAGAGAAGGAGGCATATAATTACAGTGAGTTCTCTAGCGAAAGTAAATTCTCTCGTTACGTTGCGTCATCCGATGTAAAAGAGAAATGTTCAGTGGGTCAGTTGGGTCTTGGCTTATTTTCACAGCAATAAAACGACACTTGTTATGAGTACACGTAATTTCTTATGTAAGAGATGAGAAAGATATCGAACATAATGTTGAATATTAAAAAAATCTAAGAAAGTGATTTTTTACAATTAAATGTTTCTTTAAACCGAATAAGATTTTAATAAAAATGTTAAATTTAGATTATAAACATTAATATATCTATAACAATATCATTATCATATATATTGATATCAACGACAATCTTTACGATAACTCTTCTAGGATTTCTTAGATTTGATGGCATCCGCGAATGGAAAGAACGGCATAGCATTGATAAATTGCGGAAAACCAGAACTTCATCCACATTTATGTGACAGTGGATAACCTGAACGTGGTACGTTAACTTGATGATTTTATTAAGGCTGTGAATAATTTATTTTAGTACGAAACTTTCACTAACTAGTGGAAAACAAATAAACTGTTGTGAAGATATTGCATCACCAACGAGATATGAATCACAGGATGATTTACATGATTCATATTGTGTTATTTGATACTAAATACATAATATTTTGAGAATGTGACAGAGAAAATGAAAAACAGCTAGAGAATGAAAACTACTTCATTCTCTAGCTGTTTTTCATTTTCTCGGTTAAAAATTTAGGAGCTGATATAATTGCTGCTATGCTTGATCGCTGCTACGGGGTGGATCAGTAAACAGTCCCTCTGTCCCAAATTATGGTATACATTTCTCTAAAATTTATGGATTAAGGAAAGTTTGGAGAATGAACGAGTTTCTATCTATTTAATATAATATAATGTAATCTTAATTTAATTAATGAAAGAAACTAGAGTTCTGTTTGTCGAAGGTTAAATCAAATCGATGTTTTGAGTACGACTAACGCAAGTTAAAAGGTCATACTATATAACGCTGGACGAAGCAGAACCAGAAAGGAGCTGTAAAAGCAAACGATTCATAACTAAAGTTATGTTTATGGCTGTAGTGGCCAGACCACGCTACAACAGTGCTAAAAAACAGTATTTCAACGGCAAAATAGCACTCTAGCCTTTTGTTTATAAAGAACCTGCAAAAAGAAACAGCAAAAACCAGGTAAGAGGAACAATGGTGACCAAAAACATCGAGTCTATTAACGCAGCAGAATGCAAAAAGATGATATTATCGATAACGTTGTACCAGCCATTAGATCCAAATTGATGATAATGGATCAAGATAACATAATTCATAAGCAATACCACCCTAGTTATCTCAATTTCTTATGCACAAGCCAGGAAATCCCACAATATCAACACACAATCATCTACATTAAATTCTGTTATGACTAAAAAAACTATATAAAGGTGATAGAGAAAAACGTTTCTCATAAAAATTGATGATAATGAATCAAGATAACATAATTCATAACCAATGCTATCATAGATTTCTTAGGTTCAAGCCAGGAATTCTCAAAATATCAAAATTGACAATTATCTATGTTAATTCTGTTATAAGCAGAAAATTAAAGGTGATAGAGAAAAACGTTTGTATAAAAATTAATGATAATGACTCAAGATATCATAATTCATAACCAATGCTATCTCAAATATCACCATTTTTTAGGTTCAAGTCAGAAATTCTCAAAATATCAAAATCGGCAATAACTATGAATGAATTAATAGATTGTGTTAAAAGGGCCTTCAACGCATTAACAAAAGAAAAGTTAGATAACGTATTCTCGACACTACAAAAGTGCATGGAGTCAACCATGATGGCCTCAACAGACAACAACTATAAAATTGAATAAATTTGAATCTGAGCATGCTACAGAAAAACTTTTCGAACGAAGGTTGTAGTAAATTGTATTCTTAACAAAATTGCATTTTCTTACGCTTTTGCTCTCAGACGCATAGATATCGAGAAAAATATGAAAATTCATGAATAAAGAAAAACTTCACCATGAAGGGCGTTTACATTGAACCAGCTGAATTGTGTTTAAATGTTTAAAATTTTCATTAATGTATGTTTAAATTAAGTTACAAACTGATTTACTAATTTTACAAATACAATAAAGCAGTTTCCAAAGTTTTGTATACCATAATTTGAGACAAATTGCAAAGAGAAATGTATACCATAATTTGGAACAGAGGGAATAAAAAATATTTAAAAGGGAGTAGTTACTACCAAGCGCTTGTAAAAGAAGCGATTGGGGTAATTCTGATATCTAACATTTTGATCATAACATTTGGTCGAATTTTGCAAACAAGTCAATGTTAGAAATGCCGTTTCCAGATGTTTCCAGAGCATCAAGAAAGAACTAAAAGAGTATGTGCAGAAGTGAATGCGATGACTAACACACCACATATCTGTGGCACAAATACAATCGGCCATTATTATTTGCAGGTTTGTTTCTGTGAAGTACAATATTAAAACATCCAACGCCATTTGAAGTCATATTATAAGAGAAATTTGCCTGGGCTGTAGTACAAATTTTTTTTCTGAAGCTTTGCTGGTGAACTTTTCGGTATAATCTGACAAAGATCCATATCAATACTAAAATTCTATTTAATTTTTTTGCCAAAATTGCTGGTCTGTCAACAAGTCGAATATGATATCGCTTGTACTTAACTAAGAGTGACTGTTTTGAATGCCAGGCTTATACGAGAACACTATCTTTTGTAATCAGCGAAGGGTTGTCACCATTCAAAGTTTTTTCCATTGAAATTTTAATACTGAAATTTGAGGTGCAATCCCAGATCGAAATATGTTATTTCGATGGATTGAGGAATCTTGAAGACTCTGTGATGAAGAAAAAATCATCTAGTTTATTTCGTACACAAGACAACGTCATCTTAAAGACTATTTTTTTTCTTATAAATAAAATTGCTCTACACTCTATATAAATCTAGCTAGAATGGTCCAAACCTGACGATTTCATGTTGATATATCAAATCGAGTGCTTCGCCCACAAGCTACTTGGGCGATATTAGATGATATTGTTCATTTGATGTCTTGGAAAGTGAACCAAACTTACAACACTTGAATAAGATATCGTTTAATATCACTTCGCCGAGGTCGCTTGCAGGCGAGGTGCTCATGTGTACGTTTGGTTCACTTTCCAAGAGATCAAATGAACGATATCTGGAGCATTCTAATTCTCAGTTATATAAAGATAAGGAAAATATCGGTGCAAAAAGAATACTACCTAATTAGGTCGTGAGAACGGAGGTCTCGTTTTGACTTACTCATAAACAAACGATAATTGTGTACAACCTAAACTTGGCGAGCATAACGATTGAAACGATTGTAACGATGAAACGTTCGTCCTTTACTCAAAAATTATTTAAAAATTTCTTTTTTGGCAGAAAAATATTGTTTTCTCTCTGAACATTTGTAAATTTATAAAACTGTTTTTAAAAATGGGTACATCGACGTATTTTAAATGTATCGTTTCAGAATATCGTAAAAACAAAAAAAAAGTAATGAGTTGATTTTGATCCAAGATATTATCAAGTCCTTAGGTAATAGCATAATAATAGGCCTATCAAAAACTTGGGTCAAGATATTATACGAAAATTGTATTTCTAAACTGTACCACACATTATTGATGTAGAATGATATAGAAATTGTGGATTCATAGAGCATTTTCACGGTCTATACCAGTGGTGTCCATAACGTCGATCACGATCGACTGGTCGATCGCAAAGCAGTTTTGAGTCGATCGCCAAGAGAATCATGAATCTGAAATATCTAATATCTGGGCCTCAGAGCAAAAAAAAAGGAAGGTTACTTTAAACCCTTCGGTCGATCTTGGCAAGACATTTACATAAAAAGTCGATTTTGATCAAAAATTAGTGGACACTACTGCTCTAAATCGATTAAACGTCAAATTTGTTGATTTTCGAAAATTCACTCAATCATAACTCAAAAACTAAAAGCGACGGAGAAAAACTTTTTATACATAAAACCGTAGTAATGGGCCATAAAGACTAAATCCATAACAAGATTGAACCCAATTATTACCATTTTTTATTTATAAGCTCTAAATCGATTAAACATCAAAATTGTTGATTTTCGAAAATTAACTCAATTATAACTCAAAAACTAAAAGCGATGGAGAAATACTTTTTATACATAAAACCTTAGTAATGGATCATAAAGACTAGATCCATGAAAAGATTGAATTCAATTATTACCATTTTTTATTTATAAGCTCTAAATCAGTGGTGACCATAACGTCGATTGCCAAAAAAATCATGAGTCTGAAATATCTATATCTGGGCCTCAGAGCAAAAAAAGGAAGGTTACTTTAAACCCTTCGGTCGATCTTTGCAAGACATTTATATAAAAAGTCAATCTTGATCAAAAATTAGTGGACAACACTGGTCTATACACTACGACAATGATGGACCTTACAACGATTCGTGTTACATTCATCAATCGTTAGATACAAGAGAACTAAGAGAAGAAAACGAAGACTGTCATTTTCACAATCACATCGATTCTGTTTAGAATGAAAATAATGATATTTAAAAGTAAAACTTATTTTCAGCAAAATCAGTGGGATAAGTTATAGTTCTGCAATTCATAACATAGTTTCAGGTTTGGTATGGAACAAAAACTAAAAACTTTGAATTTAAGAGTGGGAAGTTCTCAATATTATTAAATTAATACTGTTGCATATCTAACGCATGTCACACCATGGAGGCAGCAAATTTTTTGTCATAAATTCTGAAAAAATTTGACAGTACCCAAAATAAACTTTTCCAGATTTGATAAAGTCAGAGGAAATACCACTGGAATTACTTACACTTAAATGAAAAATGGAAAACTAAAAAAGGTTACAAAAGATAAAGAAGAATTGATTAGTATTGGAAAACGCGGAAAAGAGGCTTTGGTGTCATGTTCTTCGAAGCAAGAATAAAGGTAGATGTTGGGTTGGTGTGGTAGATAGTGGAAATGTCCTAGGAGTTCTGACAGCAAGTATTCAATGATGTAATCGATTTGTTTGTAATAATCATGAACTTACACATGCATTAAATGTAAAAGCAATGATTAAATGTTATAAAATATTTTATGAATAATATATTCATTTGCCACTATTTTCCAATAGCCCACATAGCCCAATAGCCAATAAATTAAATATTCACACTAAAACAGTAAATATAATCACGTTGACGAAAGAATGTTGAATGTAGACCACTCCAGTTAATTTTGATTTTTAAACTTGTAAAACCGTTTAATTGTTTTGCAACAAAAACAAAAAAAATTATTTGATCATTTGTCTTTTATAAATAAATAAATCTCAACCTTGTGTTTATAATAAGGTCAAAATGTTTTAAAAATATTTATCAACATTATGTATTCAATTTAGTAATATCATGTGGACTTTAACAAATATTTACAACAGCCTTCGATAGCTCAGTTGGTAGAGCGGTGGACTGTAGAGGATTTTCGAACAAATGTAGACATCCATAGGTCGCTGGTTCAAATCCGGCTCGAAGGAACTTTTTTTTTTTAATTTTTTCTAATTAAATCAAATTTTTACTCACCTTAATTAAAACCACTTTTCCAAAAACAAAAATAATCCTCCAAGATTTAAATATCTTCTTGGAAATAAATAAACTAACTCTCTTTCGTACTGAAAATTGTGTGGCAAGTGACGAGAAAGACACGATGAAGAGTAAACTCAAACCGCTTTTGGTCGGTATTGATATAAGTTACATTGTTGTAGTCGGTTTCGATTTTCCCACCACGACCACCACCATTACATTAATCAAACGAAACGGACCAAGAAATAGTAAAATGGTACCATGAACGCTTCTTTCTGGACACTTGCAACGTAACTTGTGGTTACCAAGGAGTTCTAAACTTAAGTGCACTCTCGTAATACACTTTTACTTGAGTTAACACAACTTTTACTTGAACGTTTTAATACGGAAGTTAAGATTGTAATTAATCTATCATTTTTAATTTATTTCAATGATTCATGCTTTTAATTTAATAAAAATATTGGGAGAAAAGAAGTTTCAATCAAAAAAGATTTTTTTCTTTATTACCTAACATAAAATACAATAAAAGTTAGTGTATCATTACTTTTTATTTTAATGATCATTATCTATTTACAAATATCACCATTGATTTCCGTATTAGTATTTAATAAATTATATAAGTGCGGTAATCCTTACGCAATATTCGTTGGAGTATGACGCAAGAGTTCGCACTCTTTTGCTTTTCGTGTCGGCGGGATAAAGTTTTGGACGGTGAAAGTTGTTGCACAATGTGCTCGAGTATACCTCACTTCTTCGTTCCTCAACGGTGTACCATATGCCGTTTTATGTCTTGGACAATAACGATGTCTCTCTCTTTCTCTTGTTAATTTTTAAAGTCTGACTGGTTACGTTTTCTTATGTAAGTTATCCGACTGACCCATATACTTCGTTTTACGAGGAAGTTGTCATGAATAGGTTTATTAATATATATTTATTTGAAATGGATTTTTTGTTACGTAAAAATACTATCTATAAATTGAATAGAAATGTTAGGAAAAAAGTAATGATGACAGTAATAACATTGTGATTTATTATAGTATTTTATAGAGATACTTTTACATTCAAAAAGGAAACTTTTTTTGCTTTTATCGTTCGAAAGACTTTATATTATGGTGTTACAAAAATATAGAACATGTTGTCGGAAAGTGTTGAAGAATTACGTTTTGAAGTGTCTGAAGCAGCAAAAACTGCAATTTCTGGACTTATGCCCAGCAGCAATCAAGCAGCTGTAAGAAATTGAAAAATGTTTCTGAACGCCTACTTTATATTGGCAATATTGGTATATTTTGAACCATTGGCCAATTACATTGTGGTCTGTACAGGGTGTCCAAATTTCGATGGGTTTGCTGGGTATCTCAGTTATTATGAAAGATAGAAAGTTGCGGATTTCGCGAAACTGAGCTACTTTTTTGTGAAACTTACAATGGCGCAAACCAAATTTTCATAGCCCTTTTCATTTTTGATATACAGGGAGTATTTGAAATTTACGATTTTCAGGCACCTCCTGTAGCTCGGCTATCCGGAAACTTAGTAAACAAGTAAAAATGGGATTTAATAGATTTTTTCACGTGGAATCCAATGGTGCACATAGAATTTTTCTAGTCATCACGGTTTTTGAGTTATAAACACAACTCAAATACTGAATACTCAACTTCTAAAATACTTAACTCTTTATAACTCAAAAACCGTGATGACTAGAAAAATTCTACGTGCACCATTGGATTCCACGTGAAAAATCTATTAGAACCCGTTTTTACGTTTCCGGATAGCCGAGATACAGGAGGTGTCTGAAAATCGTAAATTTTGAAACACTCCCTGTATATCAAAACGAAGAGGGCTATGAAAATTTGGTTTGCGCCATTGTAAGTTTCACAAAAAAAGTAGCTCAGGTTCGCGAAAGCCGCAACTTTCTATCTTTCATAATAACTGAGATACCTTGCAAACCCATCGAAATTTGGACACCCTGTACATTTGATGATGCAACGAATGCTAAATATCAAGCAAAACGTGGACATAGGAAAATATTCAAAACTAATACGTCTAAAAAAATTAAAAATTTGGAGAAAAATAGAAATTGAGAAGTTTTTACAAAAAGTTCTAAATGAATTATGATATGATTAATGAAAGTGTTATGTTCTTGCAAGTTATTTTATTACTTGGAATTTATGTAGCTTGTAGAAGAATTGCGCTAAGAGTTCAGTAGTAATTGTAAAGATCCAAGATTAAAACATCACAGTCAAACATCACATTCGTAATTCTGAATAACATGTCGAAGATTTTTATTAAATACCATATTGATGCAAAATGTGTGAGTCAAGCTATTGAGATTAACACATTTAGAATTATTCCAAGGGAGTTTGCATCATATTTAGATTTTGCTAAAAGACATGGAGGCTAGCGGTCTACGACGGTTGCAGAGGGATATATTCAAGAATCAATGCAGTTTCGAAAAAGATCCTAACTGATGGAAATCCTCAATCATCTTTAATAATTAGCCAGTGTCAAGAAACTGTTCCAGCTGAAAAACACTTATCATTGTTGAGTCGAGTCTCATTTAATGAATTTGCATATAAGGTAAAAGGTTAGTTTTCTTTAGAAATGTCAATCATCCAGGAAAAAATGTTGGATATACAGGCTGGTCCATTTAACGTGAGAAGCGATTATCTCGAAAACAGTTAATTTTACATGAAAATGAACCAAATGAATGTTATTCTGTGCGAAGGGGGAAACCATATCACGATAACATTTTTTGACATTGACCTTATTTTCAAGGCCATATGAAGATCACGACCAATTTTTTAAATGGCACCCTATATTTTTGATTGCAAAATCTGAATCTATGAATAAAAGTAAAATAATTAAAAAAAAAATAATTACCGTGTGGTTTTGCCAGTACGACGGCGAAACACCTTTTGTAGACAAAATTTAAATAATTCTTTTATTCAAATAGTTTTAAATACTGTTTATTTATAAAAAATGATTAAACTATACTATTAATCAGCGACAAGTATAAAATTTATGATAAATGTTCAAATATTTCTCCAGCCAGTTCAATACATTTATTAACCATACAACTAAAACTTACTTTACATCTTAAAAGGTTTTCTTGGCTACTATTTCTGCATGCATTTTTTCAAGCATTTCAATCATTTCAATCAAGAATCTGGCAGGCCAGGAAATTGGAAAAATGTGCTGGACACAAATCATTTTGCAGCTTCATATTTTGTCTTTCTTCCCTGCTCAAATCTACAATTAACGTTGCTAAGAAGTCGTCTAAAAAATTTCGGTACTTCTCCTCATTCAGCATACCATCAATAAAGTCTGTACCGATTAATTATGCCACACCAAACATTAACAGACTAAGCTCGTTGATGTTCTACTTCACGCAACCATCTCGGATTTTCAACGTTCCAGTAGTGCAAGTTATGTCTATTGACTTGTCTTTTGTTTGTAAAAGTGGATGAGTCTACTTTCTTTTGTATTCTACTATACTGGGTTTTCGGTGCCACTTTAGAGCCACACCCACACTCACCAATCACGAAATAGTTCATAGCGCATAACACTTTTTATTTATCTTCAAGGAGAGATCTTTGATATGTTGTTTCCATGATAGGTGCTGATCAATCTTAACTCCCAGAAACACAACCTCTTCCTTGCAGGCAAGTTTTGTACCATTGAATGTGAGATCTAATTCAATTTTTTTCAAAAGATGTTTTGTAGTTGTATGTACTGACAAAACCACACAGAACTTTTTTTTTAATTATTTTACTTTTATCCACAGATTAAGATTTTACAATAAAATATATAGGGTGCCATTTAAAAAATTGGTCGTGACCTTTATATGACCTTGACACCGCACAGAACAACTTTCATTTGGTTCGTTTTTATGTCAAATGAACCGTTTTAGAGATAATCGCTTGTCTCACGTTAAATGGACCACCTGTATAAGTTTTGTCGTTGGCATGTTTGCACAAGTACTCTCACCCAAAAACAGAGGAAATCGCGTACAGTTGCTGTATATAAATGTTTATGGCATCACACCTTTCTTATATGACACGGGCAAAACTCCGAGATCATATAGAACCCATAGGAAATTTTCCGCTCTATGCAGTAGTATACAACTTTAGTAAATTGTATGGTTGCACAAGCATTTTCCACCAAAAAAACGCGTATAGTTGCCGTATGTAAATGTTTACAGAATCATAACTTTCTTATATGATATGGACAAAACTCCAAGAACATATAGAATCTATAGGAAAATTTCCGCTGTACGCAGTGATATACACTAATATACCCAAAAACTGCGAAAACCGCGTATACTCGCCATATACAGGCTGTTCCTGTAAATCGTTGCATAATTTTAATCACAAAAAAAAATTTTTGGTCTAAACCTATATAAAAAAAATATGGGCTTTCAAAGTTAAGAAGTGCAATTTTATTATGAAAAATCGTTTAAGATCAGTTTTGAAAATATGCAACCACGGGATCAATGCTATACAGGTGGTTCACAAAGTATGTCATAAACCCCTAAAATTTTACAACTGATTCTAAAAGCCTATTTCATTTTAAAATTATTTTCACTCTTAGAAATTTTTGTTTTGACGCATCGTTTTCGAGTTATTCACAAAAAGATACAACCTCAACTGTAACTGGAGCAGTAAAGCAACTGTCAAATCATTACCCAACATTCGTCAGTCGGTAATAGTTTAAAATTACAAATAATTACAGTTTTAGTGAGCAAACTGCCATCGCAGTGGTGAGATGATATTGCAAATAACTAATGATACTGTTGATATCAACAATTCGAACATTTCGGAATATCCAAAAGTACGGCTTGGCGTGTGCCAATTGTATCCATAGCACTTATCTAAGAATTAAAAAATGCTGATCATCCGTTGCGAGTAGTTTTGCCATACTATAACGGAAAAATGTATTATTGATGCTGCGTGTTTAGAAAAAATACTTTTGTATTGGTGACGTTGACGTTTGTTAATTGATGACCATTAATTTGACATATTGCTTTACTACCTTTAATGACAGTATTTCATGGATTAGGTTGTATCTTTTTGTGAATAACTCTAAAACGATGCGTTTAATCAAAAATTTCTAAGTGTAAAAATAATTTTAAAATGAAATAGGCTTATAGAATCATTGGAAATTTTAAATGTTTACAACATAATAAAAAAGTTTTAAGGAAATAACCTTTGTAGACACCTGTATAGAATTGATCCTGTGGTTGCATACTTTCAAAAGTGATCTTAAACGATTTCTCATGATAACATTGCATTGTTAGCCAAATTTTATCTTTCTTAGACAAATCATATTGAAAATATTTAAGAATATGTTTCAAAATTTCTTAATTTTGAAGGCCAATATCTTATTATTAACGATTTATGGGTTTAATAGTCATCATTTTCACTGCAGTATTCGGTAAAAGTCGTCTTCTAATAATCGATGTGTCGATACTCAATTTTAGTTCATTTTTGATAATTTTTGACGTAACAAAAGAGTCTTTCTTAGCTTAGGCGAACAATTGCTCCATCGGTACGCGTTGATGTTTTTCTTTTTTTTCCACGAATTTCCACCTTATCGCGCCATTTTAGTGCGTTGATTATCATATTTATTTTGAGAGTTCTTTATTAATTTTATGTTTCAAACTCAAAAGAGGAGAAAGTGAGCGGATACAATACCAAGTTTGGCTACTCTTTAAAAGACGTCGCCTAAAAAAATTAATTTTTAATAATATTATTATAAAAATACATAAATAGACTTGCTCCTATTATTTTGGACAGCACTGTATGTCATGGACAAAACTTTGAGACCATATAGAATCCTTAGGAAATTTTTCGCTATATACAGTGGTAAACTTTAGTAAATTGTATGGTTGCAGAAGCATTTTCTTCCCAAAAACTACAAACTGACTGTTGATATCATGATATTGACAAGACAAAACCCGGTTTTAGATGGCGAAAGGATTAGGCTTTCTAGTGATGTATAATACAAAAAAGTTGAGTATGTTACTTTCCTTAATTTAAAGTTTTAAAGAAACAAAAAATGTTAATATATCATTCTTTCACATTAATACATAAATAACAATTGTATTAGATTCGTTTTATTTATATAAATTACATTAAAAAATACAAAATAAAAATATTTACATTAGTTTCTTTTTCATATTATCAATTTAATTCTGTTAAATATACTATCTAACAGTTATTTAACCATAGAATGTGTTGCTGACAAAATATCAACATCCTAGGGCTAACAAAGAAGAAAAAAAATAGTTGTCAATTCACAACAATAACACAATAAAAATTAAATTTGTTATAAAACATTAAGGCAGCATTTAGGCACTACAATGTGATTAATACTTCATCATATTTAAATAATATCTTTGTATTTCGAGAAAAGCTTATATAAAACCCTCAAAGTTGATTTCAAATCCAAATTGACGATATCTACAACAAAATTAATTAAAACAATTAGCTAAATGTAATAAAAATTGTTTACCTTCAGGTCTTGCTTTAGGTCTAGAAATCCCAACTTCCTCCATCAAATCAAAAGCAAAAGACACATTATGTACCTTTTGATCAAAATCTTTAGGTGTTAAAGAAAAACAATGTAAAGGTACAAAAAATCCTTCCAATAACCCCATCAAAAGTACCAAATAAACCCCATCACTAAATTGAGTCTCCAAATCAGTCACTTCCAAATTAATTTTATTTAAATGTTTATTTACGAAAGTAACCATACTCTTTTTGACAACTTGTAATTTCTCTGGGGCATGATCAAAAAGTGTATCAAAAGCATCACGTTCGCATCTCATTCCAACATCATCATATGCAGAAGTGACATGTTCATGAGCTGTTCTATAATTTAATTGTCCATTACTTTTTTGAACAACATGAGTTTTGATGGTGACATGTTCCGGTAAACGAATTGGGGCGCGAAAATGTCGCGCTAAAGCGACTAGTAAATAAAGAATAGCAACAATATTTTTTGAATGGATACTTTCAACACCCCATTTTTTAATGGAATGATGTGGGATACCCAAAATTCGATTGAAATCATCCAAAACCATGGCTAATTTCTGTTTTTGTCCTTCTTCAGATTGAGTAACTTCCGGTTCATTTAATTTGTTCCCTGTTAGTTTTTCAAGGAGTTTTTGAAGAACTTGGCCGTCATATAAATCATCCATGATGTCTTGAACGATTATTCTTTGTTCTGCTAATTCATCGTTTATCCAATCTATTAAGATTTGTATTAAATCCTTTACTTTTGGATCTTCTAACGCGTGGGTATCTACCATACATCTTTCTTCCTTTTCATCTTAATTAAAAAATAAAGAATAAATAATTGAAAATTTATGGTTATAATTTAGCTTACCAAGTTCATATTCTTCTGGTGGATAATCGGGATTTACGGGATTTCCCGGAGAATCAATCGCATTTTTCCCTTCAGCTTCTACTTCACGAACTAATAAAGAATTTATTATTTTGACATTGACGTTTTAACTGTTATTCTTTTGACATTGACATAAACAACGCCTACTATATTTTTAACAACATGACCAAATAGGGTTTGATAATCATTTTGATGCTTAAATACGGTTATTTGCTCACCTTCTTTAATTCGTTTCTTTCTCCCTAAGGTACCAATTTTATCCCATAAAGATTCTTCTTTATCTTGTTTAGCAGCCACGGGAGGGCGAGGCGATTTCGGCCTTAAAGTAGCCATGTTTCCTACTCCTCTTGAATCACTTACAGTTCCAGCAAAACTGACATAACTATCTAAAAAAAGAAATCTTTGTTACCGACTCCATAGTTATAAGGGAATTCTAATAGATACCTCTAGTTTTTCTATTTTCATATTGTTCATTTGATATTTGAGATTTTCGTGTTAAAACCGGCGATTTTTCCTCGATATATTCAGGAACTTCGTAAAGAGGTTCAGAATTCGTAGGATATCGATTCGGATTTCTTTTTGGTGTTGTAACATCAGCGTAAACAGGTACGAACGGTTTGTTGGATTCTTCCTCTTCAAAACTTTGCGAAAGTCTTGCTTTGGAAGGTTTTGGAAGAATTTCAGGTTTAAAAGTTTTCGGTTTTACATCTTCAATCGTTCCATAAGAAACGACATCATCCTCGTATGTACTAGATTCTTGCTTTTTGGTATTTTTATCTACTTGCGCATAAACAGGAAATGACGTTCGATGCGTTGGGGATGAAGATTTTTCGTTCTCAATTAAGTAATTCTTATTGGATTCTTCAGTGTTGACTTTCTTTTGAACTCCGACGATTTTGGGTGTGTCTTCTTCCGAATCTGAACTCTCTGACGGTGGTTGAGGAGTAAGACGTGTTTCAACTGATGATTGTCTGTAAAGACAACGTTGAATTGGAATTTCAACCATATCTTCTTTATTCATTTTGAATTAAATGAAAAATTTGGTGTAAATTCTTTGTAACTCGCGAAAGATTTAAGTTGCTGTGTAGTTTGAGTGATACGAACGAATAAATATTGTTATTAACATTTCGTATTTAAATAAAGATAGGAAGTTGTGGTTTGATAAGAAAGATAAGGGGTTTCCCATTAAATTTTAAAGTTAAAGTGTAGGTTTTTAGATATATATATAGGCATACATAAATTTGATTAAAAAGAGTTTTAAATTTACCGCGCATTATAACATTTCTTTTTCTACAGTAATTTGTCACTCACCAAAATCTTTAAGAATAAAAAATAAAAAAAATTTTGAAATTTTTAGATTTTAGGTTAGAATATGTCACTTTTGACGTTTGTAATGTCATTTTATATTTTCTAACAACATTTCATCCCCTTCTTTACGGAAGACGAACTGATCCTGCCCATGGGCCGGTTGGCACTCTATCGAAGACATTAACAGCAGCTGTAATTGCATGTCCTGAAGTTATCCTACCATCATCCTACCTCCAGCTATTTCTGAAAGATATATAATCTGGTGGTCATCCCCAAAAAGAAGAGCGATCCCCTAAATTCCTCGACATACCGGCCATTATACTTCACAACTTTATTGAGGCCCAATAGATAAATCATCACACTAGACCGATTGTCATTTTGGTGACCTTAGATATGAGGTACACTTTTAACTCTGCAAGCTGGGACGACATTTTCCTGTTCAGTGAATTCATCAACTATTTTATGAATAGGACGCTGACTTACTGCACATCTGAGGACCCTAAGTGCAAAACAATGACTTGAAGAGTTGCGCAGGGATCAATCCTTGGGCCAGAGTTATGGAATGTTTATGGTAGATTTGGTGGGTTATGCAGATGATTTTGGTGCAGTGATCCAAGCATGAAACATCAAGGAAGCGCGAATAAGGATTAACAAGGTAATGAAAAAGATCCTCACTTGGATGCTGGACCGTGAGCAGTTCTTGGCGGTAAATAAAACTAAGATTCTGCTACTTACTAAGCGGCGAATACAGCTGGAAGTTACCTTTAATATCATGGAGACCGCAATTACCAGCGGCAGGATGGTTAAGTATCTGGGATTGTCTTTAGACAGCAAATGTAGGTTCCGAAACTACATAAACACGGCTTGCGTGAAAGCTGTAAAGATCACTACCATGCTTAGCCACATAATGAAAAACTAGTGATGGAGGAACTACTAACGGGTGGTCCCGTGGAAGAGAAGGGGAGTTTTTACTGGGTAATAAAGTGTTAGTCCTAGACTGCCGACCGAAGTAGACACCACGACATCCCTAGACGTCAACGGTACGCCGAATACAAATACTCCACCTTTACAAAAATGCAACTTGTTCCTAATATCTTCTAATGCTGCATTAAAAGAAGATTTTGCAAAATATCATTTCGGCCTATGTCGAAATAGCGAAAACAACGCACCACTACTGTTAGATGAACTTGAAAACAACACGATTTAAAATGCAGCAAAAACCTAAGATAAAAATGGATTTCCTGCACCGGCATCTGCATTATCTCTGCAGAAAAGTCAGAAACTGGAAATCAGTTTATTCAAAACAATCAATGACAACAAAGGCCTTTCATGCTCCTCTGAGTTATAAACGGAAAATATTTAACTATATGCGAAGTAATTGATAAACTTCATGAAATGATGCAAACACATAAATAACAGTAATGCTGATGATGAATCGACGTATTTAGCAAATATCTCTGTTCAACTAAAACAGATGCCTCTTTACAATGCAGTTAGCTGCTAGAAAAAATTCAGAGAGTAATAAGACAAAACCGATTGCAAGTCTTGAGACAGTGTCACAGAACTACATCATCATCTTGCTAATATCAGAACACCTCATCATCAGCGTTTTCGCCTTCTCAGTAATATGAATCTTACTCGACATCGCTTTCAGACAACATGGATGGAGAATAGAATAAACAACAATACGACGTAGATTCTTGTATTCGAGATGTTACGTTATTGTTATTATTAAAAATTACACTTAGATATTTCAATGTCTGAACAGATTTTCGTCTCTATTCATTTCATGTCATCTTCATATACTTAGTTTTTTTTTCATTTGTACATAGACCTTCCTCTGTAGCTGCTCTTGCAATTACAGTAAATATCTCTACAAGCCTTCAGTAATTTCTGGCTATTATCAATACATCATCTGTATGTGTCATCTTTGAACTGATTTTGTTATTATATTGCCTCTGCTGTCAAGGCAATAGCAGAGTGCAAGGCAAGATTGAATATTAGCGCTGACGAAGCATTTTCCTGTCTCACACTATAATAGTTCGTATCACGAATTTATCGGATATTTTTTCCTGCACTGGAGGCCTGCGTTGTCAGCATGGGCAGTTTAGTTAGTTCTTAGAGGATTCTCATTTCTCTTGGATTAAACCTAAGTCTACCGACAGTTTGTTAGATTTTCTGCACATTGTATGAACACTTTTGTGATACATTTTCGTTTAAATATTTTTTTTGTAATTCGCCACGGCAATGAAAGCTATTACAGTACTCAAACGGGTGCTGTAATGAGACTCCTTACAGCATCCGATGCTGTAATGAGATTTTAGTAACATTTTATGGAACCAGTTCAAGTGATATAATAGTAAATAGTGTTTTAATAGAACTCTGAGCAATTTCTCTTATTTCGGGAGGTGTACATTTTTTTTAGGAGAATACATTTTGTATTTTGACAATTAGAAATTGTCAAATCAAATTTCTATTTTCAAGTGTTACGGTGTTACCAACTGCTACATACTTATTTCCCTACATTGGCAAAATTTATTTTATTTTTCTTAAAAAAAAAGATAAAAACGCGAATTACAAAAAATAGCATAAAAAACACGTTTCATAAAACATAAAGCACTCATTTATTAAAAACTAAACTTGAATTCGTGCATTTCAAGAGTGTCTTACGAAACTAGTTTTTTAATATAATTTGACAGATATATCTGTCAAATTGACGTTTCTTTTTTCGTTAAGAATTGTTTTTTAAATAAAGAATAAAAGTGTAAATCTACGTCTATTTAGTGTTATCGTAAGTGTATTTAGTGTTTTTACTATAAATTATGTTTGTTATTCGAATTTAAATGTATAACTGGGAGTTTTCGATTTTACAGCGCCATCTATTATATTTTTATTAAAGCATTGCTTGCCGCACACGTCCCGGTTTGGGGTCCCCGGTGGTGGTGGTTGCTATTGATTGCGCAGGCAGAGGCAGTGAGGCCGAGATCGGGACGCGAGCAGCCACAGCCCGACCCGACCCGACCCGACCGTAGTCCTACCTGTCGGCCGCGGTGGCCGTTGCAGTCCCGTTCAGCCGTGGTGTAAAGCCCGCTCCTCCTCCTCCTCCTCTTTCTTCTCCGGCGGCAGGCCAGGCCGGATCAGATAAGTTAAGGGGGGCCAAATAGGGGGGCGTAGCCTTACCTGCTCCTTGCAGGAAGTGCTCAACGAAAGGCGACGGGTGGTGCGTGTGGTGCTACGACGTCCGCGCCGGGATGTGATGAAAGGTAACGCGGTGGAGCCCCCAAGATATCGTGCCGATAGAAGGAGATTTCAAAAAACTACTCAGAATATCGGAAATAAGGTAATAATAATTAAAACTCACTACTCGTATTACTTAATCAATTATTAGAACATTAATAAAGACAAGTTTTTAAAAAAAACCTTCGCCTCCACCATTTTTGTTGATAACATTTCTGTTGATTTCGGGTGGATTTTCAGTAATAAATGTCTTTCTATGTTTGGACGTGGACTGTTGTAACTAAACCGTGAAAAGCTGTGAAAGTTTTGACGTTGGCGACAAACTAGGGTAGTTTATTCGGCTCAGGTGTTGCTCGTCGTGACCGCAGCGGCCCCCTTTCGAAATTAGTTAAACTCCCGGATTATAATCCGACGACGCGAGGGGCTCTCGGGGGTTATTAATACACGCCCGTTTTGACTAACAATTCAATAAATCCACTTGGATTATATCTTTAAGACCCTAAATGACCAACTTTTAGATTTCTCAATTACTTAATGACCTTATTTCTAGATCAAAAATCTTTGCAATTTTTTATTTTGACTTCAACTGAAATGTGATAAGTTATATTCTAAAGAAAAAATCAGAGAAACTTATTCACATTTTTAGATTTTAGGTTAGAATAAATCAATTTTGACGTTTCTTAATGTCATTTGTGAAGTATCACGTCATTTTTGACGTTTCGTAATGTCATTTTATGTCTTCTAACAAACTTTTAATACCTTTTTGCTTATTCACTGATTCTCACTGTACTCACTTAGAAAAGACTTATAAAAGTCTTCATATACATTAAAAATTTTAAGTTTTGCTTTTATATAACATTATCACGATGTTGAAAAATTCTGAAAAGATATCTTATGCAGGTCTAATTTAAGTAGAATAATATAATATATGTACATACATAAGTATCTATAGGCAAATCTATTCAAAAATGAATAAATTATTAAAAATAGTCTTCGTAAAAGTCTTCAGAGTTGTAATTAGTTGAGTTGTTTGTGGGTTTTTATTTATCTTAAAGTTCAGAAGTACGAACACTTATTGTAAATTTACACAATACTGGAAAAACTTATAGTGAAATGCGAAAATCGTAAAGAAACTTTGTGGAACTATACAATCTATTATTAAAATACGGCAAGAAACGGTTACTGTCATTAATAAATCCAGATCTGGCCGACCTTAAACCTTAATCAATAGAGATATTCGAGTTCTATTGAATACCATAAACAAAAACCCGAAAACGTTTGCGTCAAGTTTAGTTATAGAAATCGTTCGAACTAAGAAACCAATACATCTAGATAACGTTAGAAGAATATGTATAGATACCATGCAGGAACACCATGGTGTAAAAGTTTTTCCATAAAATATAAAAATATAATCATCTTTAATGGTGAAGCTATTTAATGAAGTGACGGAAGATAAAAGTTTGGAGAAAACTTAACAAAGAGGAAAAATATAGTAAATATTGTAAAATATGGTGGCGGAAGTGTCATGTTGTGAGGGTTGTAATATTATAGATCAAGTACATCGACATTTTACGCGATAGTTTGCTGCCAAGTCTACGTCGTCTTTGCTTTAAAAAAACTGGATCGTCCAGCACGACAATGATTGTTACACAGCTACTAATGTGAAGCATTGACTGGTCTTTAATGCACCGAAATAGCTTGAAAATTTGAATGATTGTCGAATTTGAAAACCAGACATAAAAACCAAGATTACTAACCGAGCATCCGAAAATTCACGCCTAGATGTCTCGCTGCTGTAATTAAAGCAAAAAAAGGCCCAACAAAATATTAGTACCAACACCTTATTGAGATTTTCTTCATTTGAGCTCAAAAATTTATGTCTTTGATTGGAAAATCAAAAAAATCTGAATATTTCAAAAATATGAAGAAACTGTAAAAGCAACAAAAGCTCCTGAATGACTATTATTTTCAAGAATTGTTACTGATTTTAGATAAGAAAGTTCAGTTTATAACGACATTTTCAAGTTAAGGAGTATTATTTTCCAAAATTTTAAGGTTTTTTATCGTAACACTGCAAACATCAAAATTATGACGATATTCTGGAACCTTACCTTAATGAAATCTTGGAAGGAGATGTTGAAGAACTAGAAATAGAATATAGTTGCAATAACTTTAGCCGAAGCAAGAAAAGCTATGAATATTTTACAATCATTTCGCTAAAGATAATTTAGTCATGTCAGGTGTAATTTTTATATCTACTCTTTTCTTAAATATCATCTATATTTTATATTTTTTAATCACCTTGTATACACCTAGATTTTTTGAATTTATGATTATATAACTTAGATAACTCTAGATAAAGAAAATTATAGTATTTGCTAATAATAGCAATTAATAATGTGGATTAAAGGGGAGATGATGGATGTTAAATGGTATTTAAAAATATGGAAAAATTTAGGAACAGGATATAAAACGTAGCACTCGGGTTCTAAATCTTTCCGTGCTTTAGTTTCAAAGTTTCCTTTTCTTTGACAGCAAAACTATTCATGGTATGTTAATTCAATGTTTTTCTTCATCGGCAATCAATTCTTCAGCAATATCTAGCAAAAACGTTAAATTATTTCTGTTAAGTCAAGTGTTTACATTAAATCAACGGTTTCTGGGCAGTCAATTTCTATTTTGGCCGCTCTATTATTCCTTGTATATTTGTTGTCAGATTTTTGACAATTGCTCAGCAAGTGTGTCATTTTCAAAAAAATTGCCCTATCTATGCCTTACAAATGTCGAATATATTTTTGCTACACAGATGTGACAAAGTTTATACTTTCCAACTTCAGATATACAGTGCTGAAGAAGCGTACAAAGCATAACCTCTGTCTGGACAACTCATTCTGACAAATCTTTTTAAGATTTACCGTTTTATTCTATTTAATAGCTTAATACAGAAAATTTTATGGAAAGTTTGAGTTGGAGTTAAGTGTTTTATGTCTGGGAAAATGCTATTAGAAGAAAGAAGCTATTAGAAGTCTCCAAACTTTGTCCTATTCTCAAAATCTTTAGAAATCTAAAGCACTAAAACACTAAAATAGTGTCATCATTTCTAATAATACTTGTGCAGTTCGTACACGTGCAATTTTCAGTATCAGAAAAGGTAGGTATCATTTAAATGTACTACGGCTTCAATTCCAGGTCCAGGTGGAAAATCTTAAACCACTTGTCTGCACGATTTTGATTTCCAATACTAATCTCGTAACTTGACTTTCCTGGTTCTCCTAATCATTGCACCTTAAACATTTATAATGTTACGTTTGAATACTTTTGGGACGTCCACTTTACAGTGATTGGTTCACTGCATACTTAATAACTGGGTTACAGACTTTGTTCGTACAAATTTGTCGATGGAAAGTTAAATGAGTTACAATCTTTCTGAAACCAATGCTGATATTTTTTTCTTATTATTGAAGGTTACCCAAGCACTTCTTCCAAGCTATTATCTTCCTGTTGTTTTCCACAATAAGTCGGGTTGGGTTGGGTATAGTTATACTTGGTTATACAGTATTTAAAGTAGATCGCCATGGGTGAGGTGCTTATGGAATGCTGCGGCTGACTAAAGTGTCGTACTCGTCTTCATTTCATCAAAAATCACCTTAAATATATATCATATACATCTCGGTTTGGATTAGTTCTGTAGATCATCCTTCTTGATTGATTCTACCGTCTTATCTGGAAAATTTTCCCGACCTATCATCTACAACACTGTTCCAATGGGTGATTTAACATGACAGAATTTTCCAATTGGTGTCTGCTTAATAACATAGCTAGTTTCAACAAATTAGAGCAAGTTAATCACATCACCTCATAATGATTTGATATTTGTCTTTTCATATGTTAATCTAAACGTGTTTACATCTATCATTGAAGTTGCTATAAATAATTACTAATTCGTACTTGTAATGAAGTTATTTGTACCCTCCAAAAATGCAAGTCCTTGGATACAAACATTCATCCTGATCTTTGCTATGTTTTGGATGAGTCAACTTTACTAATTTATATGCTGCTCTTTTGAAGGTTATATAAAAGGTGCTATAAAATTCTGGATAAACACAGTTTACTACTACAGATTGTACAAAAAAATCAAGTTATACTTTTACTGTCAAAAAGAATTAACAGGTGTCGGTGCCGCGGAAATAGACTATCCGAAAAAATTAGGTTTTTGCGAATTATGAGGATTATCCAGCCAGCACAATGTCGAACGGTGGTAGCACTGACACCATTATTAATCTCTTTGCTTTTCACATTCCCAATTGTTGCCATTTACATGATTATACAACAGCGAACTCTGAAAATTTAGCAAGTGCATCGTTGAACGAACCTTTGTTATTGGACTCATGCCTGTTGGTGCAATAAATTATAATTATAAATGTATGAGAGTACTTTTCCGTAAAAGACTTAACAGTTTAAAACACTGTCGTGTCAATTTTGATCATATCAATAATACGATACGACTTTCTTGCATGATGAAATTGATGTTACAGTTTCGTTTATTGTTATAAATGATTTTATCGTCTTTAATAAATATTATTGTTATACCTACATTCGATTAGGATCTTAATGGTTTAATTACTGTAATCAGTTAGCTTTTTATGGAAATGTGTTAGAATGGAATTATTACATTTTTTATTTTATTAAAAATGTATTTTTTTAATACGCCAACCTGAAGTGTTTTGCCAATTTATCATTACACCACTATATTTTTTATTATACTTTATGCATGTAGATACCTCACAGTGATAGATCTCTATATGATATTCAGTCAGGGTGTTAAAATTGTAAAAACGTCATATAATTTTCAACTAATTATTCTTTTGATATTTTTTAATTCAGAAAAACCAACAAATAATTTTTACATTTCCATTTTTTAATTCTCATATCATTGGATTCATTCCACGATTATAATTATCAAAATTGGGCAGTTTTTAGTACCAAAACATACTCAATACACTAGAGCGACATGTCGCTCTTAACATTTAATCAATAGATTGTGTAAATATTTGAGTTGGATTCTGTTAAATTGTAAAATAAAATGTTTCATTAATTACTTTACTAATTGAGTACAAAATAAATCATTAATTACAGTATCACATACACTTAATTTAATGAATTCGGATGTAATTTGTTTATATGAAACAACCACTATTAGAAACAAAATGACCGAGGATACATTTTAGAAACATTACATATTAAAAATAAGTACTTTAATATCACTATTTATGGAATTACAATAAAATTATATCACATAACAAATTAAGTATCGTCGTTATAAACTGAGATGGAGACTTTATTGGTTAATAAGATATTTTCAAGCTTTTGGTACATTTTAGATTACTTTCATTTACAAAATCTAATCTTTTTACATAACAGATTCAGACTGATAGATAAATCATCTGGGTTGTTCTTGCCGAAAACCTTCGTCCTCATGATTTGTGGTCACCATAAGAGCTTGTTTTTTTATTTCAGCAAACATATCTCGAATATTACTTTGAATTTCATTCGGTTGGTCCATCTAAAAAAGATCAAACATTAAAAAGACACCTAATTAATAAATGAAAAAATAATTCACTTTTTTATGAACATCTTTTCGCTCTCTCTCTTTAAAAACCATTGTACTATCACCAGATGGACACTCTCTAAATACTTTTTCTTTTTCTCTATACATATGATGAGCTAGTGGTTCTTGAACTGTAGTGTCCGAATTTTGAGTAATATCTTTATTTTTATTCATCCAATCATCTATAAAATAAAATTAATTTAAATTTTTTTACTTTCAATTAATTTTCCGTTACTTGTAATATTCGTGATGCTTGAAGTTATGGAGGAAGGTGAATTTTGGAGATCTGCCAACTGCTCGTTTACGACTTCTTGCAATTGCGACATTTCGCCTCGTATTTCCTTGATTTGCCTATCTCTAGCTGAAAGGATTGCAACAAATTTTTCCTTTTCCATGGTGGTCAATGTTAAATTATGATTTAAAAGCGCTATTTGTTCATCTGCTAAAGTTTTTTGTTTACGCAATTCTTGTACAACAGTTTTTAACTCTTGCGCTGAATTTGATTGATTAGATTCTATTTGAGCTTTTAATCTTTTTACTTGTAAGTGATAACTATCTCGTTCTTGTTGAAGTGTTATTAATTTTGTGTTTGTAGCTTCAGTCTAAAATATATTACAACAATTATTATAATAATTATTATTAATTAATGTGTATTTTTACTTTTTCATATTCACATTCCTCCATTTGTTTCCTTAAAAACTTAACGGTTTCTTTTTCGGCTCTTAACATAATTTCTAATTCTTCTTTTTCTGATTTTAAGCGAGTACAAACATTTTCCATTTGTTTACATGCGGTTTCAATTTTAGCTGAACTTTCTTCTAAATGTTTTTGAAATTTATCTGCTTCTATGTAATTTGTTCTTATTGTTTGACAACTTTTATCAAACGTTGGTGCTTTTACAACTTGTATAGGGATATCATCATACTAAAAATATTTTTTAATTATTTAAATTATGTTTTTTATTTGCTTACTTCTTTTACGTAAGGTGCATATTTAAGGCTTTCTGTGGATGTTTCTTTTTGTACCATATTTACAGGTGGGCTGTCTAAATGTAGAGCTACACATGATGCTACTTCTGGAGGAATTCTACTTAAAGCTACTTGCATGTCTATTACCATTTGTTGAATGCTTTTATCATCTATATAACATTAATTAAAACCATGAAAAAGCAATTTTTATTTAAACTGAAACAACTTACTTGGTAAACTATCTAATAACTTGCTATGTAACTCTTTAGCTATAAAATGTAACGTCCGAATCGGGTCAAAGTTCGTAAAAGAAGAAACATTTTCATAACTTCCCTCATTCTTCAACAGTTTACTCCACGGTTCTCGTTTATTCACACTATTCGACCTGGAACGTTGTTTTATATTGTGAGTTTTCACTGTAACTTCGACAAGGGCTGGATTATCAGTATACAATTCTTTGTGGACTACGCTACTGGTTGTTGGTTCACTTTTGAAGGCCTCATTTGGTCTACGGACGTTGGTAGTTTTCGGTCGCGACACTTGTTGTGATTGCTGCAACTGCTGGATGACAGATTTCGGTCTAGAAGTGGCTCGTTCGCCCCTCGTTATTGCCATCATGGGCTGCGCTTTACCACCATGTACGTCTTGTTTCTTGCGTTGTTGAAGTCTCGTGGTGTAACCTTCGCAGTGTACGACGTCAATATTCATGTTATTCGCGGTACCGTGTACCCGATGAGACATGATTTTATTTATTTCTTTTTTTTTATTCACGTGCAATTTTCTAATTGTTGCATAATATAATTTGAAACTTGAAACCGTAACAGTTTTTAAAGATAAATTTGAAAATAGTTTTGAGGTTAGGTTTCTGGGTTTGTTGACATTTTGGTGACCAACGAACGCTACTACTTGACGCATGCGTACTTGATTATCCCCCTAAGGCTAACCAACCACTTGCGTCACGCGTTCCTGTGGGAAACTGGGACAAATTTTCCTCGTTTTTCCTTTTTGTCCCCCTTTTTTTTATTTATGCCTTTTAGGATACATCTATTTTTATCCCTTTACAGTTAACTCGTAAATGACAAACAATTATTTTCGAACAAATCTAGTGGAATTAATTTTTCAAGGTTGGCTGCATTGTTTGCAATCAATTTAAAAAAGTTTATCATAAAATTCCCCTGTTTTAATTAATAAAATATGGCAATAAAATCGTTTAAAATGGCTTTTTTTATGCGGTGTTCAAGTGTAATACACATACGAGGCCCAAATGGTGTCGTCGTGAACTTGGAAAAGGTAAAAACAATTGCGGCCGGGGTCGTAAAAACTCCTTCGGCGATATAACCAGCGGGGTGTAAACTGGGGCCTTAACTGCCGCCGGATGTGGGGTAACCGATCTAAATCTGAACCATTAAAGCTCCCGCGCCTGTACTACCGTGACGTCACCTCGAGACCGGTGGTTGCCAAGCGACGTGACGTCAGTCGGTGTTGGGCGTCGGCACTTCACAGATCTGTTTGACAATAATGTATTAATTTCTAATTCTAATAAAATACTGCATCATCAATAAACTAATATATAATATCTTCCATAATTTATAATCAATCGTTTTATTTTGTATAATTTCTTTTCAATTTATTTACAGGTACCTATTCCTGAATTACAGATTGAATAGATATCTATGTTGCAACTTTGAGATCTAATTTCATTATTTGCAAACTATTGCTAATTGTTATTATTTGAAACAAATTTACCATGTATACAACGACTCGTCGTGTTGTAAAATAGAGCAGGCTAAGTTTACCCTTTCATTAAACTGATTAATGTGGCTCATCATTAGCATAATTTGAGGCTGCATTTGACGAACCACACATAGTTATTAACAGATTTCTGTAATAACAAATAAAAGCTTTTTTTTTGTCATAAATAAAAGTAAATGAGGTTGATATATTCAAACATAAGAAAAGAATATGATGTGAATTAGAATAAAAACAAATTTTTTTATTGTCATTCTATATAGAAGGACATATAGACATACAGGGTGTATCTAAATTGATGCAAAAGATTTTAAGGGTCTTTCATATAACTTTTTGGTCAAAACCACTTCTCCTCCAAGTTACTTTTTAATACGTCTACATTTTTCTATTTAAAAACTTGATTTAAATAGTGAGATTCAATACGCAACTTTTTGTCTCTTAATATTTTCTACTAAAATTGTTAGTTTGATCACAAAAAAATAAAATAATACACAGGCTCAGGTGAATTAATTCAGAGATTGGTTATTATTAGTCAAAGAAATGAAATTATGTCAAATTGATTTCAGCATTATTTTATTTTTTGTGATCAAACTAACAATTTGTTAGTTGTAAAATGTCAAGAGATAAGAAAGTTGCAGATTTTTACCCTTAACTTTAGAGGGCTATAACTTAGAGGAGAAGGGGTTTTGACTAAAAAGTTATATTAATTTTCGTTGAAAAATCACCCCTTAAAAACTTTCGCATCAAATTAGATACACCCAGTAGAAGGATATAGAAGGACCAGAAAAAGTATTGTTTTTGTTCTTATTTACATTGTATAAAAAATAACTGGTAGACATGGATCAAACCTCCTCATGTAATTATAAGAAAAGAAGTTGAACATTACCATCTCATATAAGCAACTCAAAGTCGATGAGTTTAAAGCACACTTCATCAAAAGGTACAATCACTCAAGGATCTTGGCTTACCTCAACAGCAAATATTTCGAACGAGATCATCAGGGGAAAAGAGTACAAAAAAAAATATCTTAACAGGTTAACTGCCATGTGTACCGTTTCTGTCAGTTTCTGCTACACATAAGCTGGTTTATGAAAACCACAGTTTTTTAAGTATTGTCCTTAAGGCCATACGGTATATTTACATGGTGCTTTTTATTGATGAATATGAGATTATCTTCTACTTTGTTGTTATACATTTTGTCGTCTTGTATATTTACGGTACCAAAGTGGAGAGACCGTATGGATGTACTAATAGTAAGCACAAACAAATAGCAACAACACCCACGGTCACTCAAACAGATGGAGACACAATTAAACCGCAAGCAGTCATCGAATATAATAATGGTAAATCATTTATTAATGACGCAGACCAAATGACCTCATACAACACCCCCAGTTGAAAATCCTTAAACGGAATAGCAATTTAAAATAAAAAAATTAAAGTGGTATAGTGTTAGCGTTTGTTAGAGACTTATTGACAAAACGAACTATAAACGCAGCACGAATTACAAAACAAAGGAAACGTTGTACTCAATGTTATAATGGTATTGCAACCAAATACGAAAAAACCTAGCTCAATAAGATACACCTCAAGTTTGGACCAAATGCACAATCTGCCAAAAATTCAGCCAGTTGTTGAACTAACCAGAATAATTCGTGAGGCTACAGAATGAATCTCCATATAAAAATTATTGTATGTGTACCTTTCATCACATATTTGAAGTGTATTCGGTTGAGTACCTATAATGGTATTCATTAATTCCAAAACGAAATTGAAACGTGTACCACATACGGCACACAAAATAATTTTGGCAGTGCAATAAAAATAGCTGTGGCAGTCAACCTGTTAATGAACGCCAGCTTCCTCGTTTAGCAGATTGAGTTTACTCGATGTATTAACAAAAATCAGTATCTCTGGGTCAGTAATATGGACGAAATATGTTGACTATCTAGATCCATCGATCTAGACTTGAATATTGTACATTCCCTACTTAAGGGGTCCAACCCACTTGACCTTGAACAACTTCAAAATCGGCATCCAAGAGAATTCGAAAGATATTGTTTTCTTTTCTCGCAGCATCGTTGAAAATAGTAATTCTACTAAAATTGCTAATGATGTCGAAAAAAGGATGCTACCACATCAATACTTCTCTAACAAGAAAAGTTTTGTGTGGATTAATATGGATGACTACTATAGTAGTAACTAGTACTAACTGCTAGATCCATGTTATCATGCAAGATGGCAATTCCCCATGGTAAAAGAATCAAAACTTCTCACAGCGTTCACGACACCTGATGGAGTGACACTCATCATCATTCAACGGATGATAACATCGCCTTGGGCTTGGTCATTTACACACCAATGAACAAGAATGACTTGAAATTATATGAACCGACAACTTAATACTTCGCACTGACAACTGAACGTCAGCGTACGTTTCAACTATCTCAAAAAGAAGAACGGTAAGCTTACCCAATGGTTCCTGTTATTATTCCAGAACGAGAGTAAAATGAACTTCTGAAATTTCTTTTCAACAACCGTTAGAGGAAGATTACAACCTGGACCCAATAGATAACGAGAAGTTGCCATATTTACGTTCATACTACTTCAACTTTTGGTTATTAGTTATACAAAGGGTCACTACATAGAATATTTTTTAAGTCGGAAGTTAAATAGCATATCGAAAAGAAAATTACAAAATGTCTGGTATGGGATGGTTTCCTCTGGAAAGCCATTTTTTCCATTTCCGAACTGGTTAGTTTATGGGTTCTATCATTTGCTATACCGGACAACAAAGCGAGTTAAATAATGCGCATTATCAAAGAATAACTCCTTCCATGCTATAGACACCCTCCACCATTTGTCACCGATTATGAACGAAAACAATTTACTTGTATAGATTAGTATAGCGCAGTTCGTAAGTTCGTTAGTCTGTAATGTCCAATACCGATATATAACCCTCAAGTGAGTCCATCCGAGTGGAGGATACAAAAAATATGAAAATGTATGCCTAACTTAGCTAGTTGGGTACTCTTCTACTTTCATCATGTCTATACGGGCTTGATTAACGTCAACGGCCAATGCAATGCCGCCACCAGTGAGACTTTGGCTGGGCTCCTATTGGAGTATGAGTCTGGGAAGTGGAACTTAACTCGGAAAAATCCAATCTTATAATCTGAATATAGAAGTTACCGAAGTAGATGAGATCACTTAAATAGAGGTTGATATAGACAACGATATACTGGACAAGAACAACCCCTGGTGTGATTTCCCAGGATAATGAAACCTAGAAAAGGTATAAAGGTTCCGTTTGGTCATCTATGGATCGCATCACATATCATAGTTCCTGGACCAACATATATGCCAATAATCCTTCAGGATATCCAATCTGCACCTCCTAAACAATCATTATGGTTCTGTCTAGTAAGCCTCTTCGAGGAGAGACTGTTACGCTGACCGTTTAGCATAACATCATGCAAATCATGTAAGTCATGATCAAATCATCTCATCGGGTAGTCGACCGAGTCCGAGCAATGAGAACGTGGCTGAATCAAAATTGGCTATAAAAGTGGGAGTATTTGAGAAAGATGAGCTTTGCTTTCTTTTTTAACCCTTGTATTATGAATATGGTTATTGTATAAAGGTAAAATAAAAGTGTTCTTATGTTCTCAACTACGATACATTTTACGAGACAATTCATCACAACTTTGTGGCATAATGAAAAAAATTCATAAGTAGACAGAAAGGATGTGCCGGGAGTATGTAGAATGTAACATTGTTTCAAATTATTGGCGTACACATTAATTTGTTGTAAATTGAATGTTCCAAGGTCGGTGTACCATTTTTAATAGATGCAATAATTAATCGATTTAGCAACAATTTTGTTTTACAATGTGTCTCATGTTCAACTTTTTTCTTTAAAATGGTCTAAATAAACAGCTAATAATATGTATGTCTGTAATTCAAGAACACTTGTATAAGAACTATTGACGAAAATATTTGGGAGCTCTTTTAAAGTAGTTTTTTTATGAAAAAATATGCCTTTTTGTGCGTGTTCGATGAACTTGATTAAAAGAGTAAAATTGTGCAAAATACATTTGGGTTGAAGTTTGGTGGTGACAAAGCCGACAAAACTCGACCTAATCAATCACTTT